GAGGGAATGAGAGAGGAGAGAAGGAGGAAGGAGGAAGGAGGAAGGAAGCAGAGGTATAGAGAAGAGGGGGGAGGGAGGGAGGGAGGGAGGAGAGATGAAGGAAAGAGGAAAGAGGGGAGAGGGGAGAGATGCGAGAAGAGATGAGACAGGATAGTTGATTTTTCACAAGTCATTTCCACCACAACCAGTTTTGTCATGTTTCGGTTTCTAACTTCTATGCTTGTATTCTAATCACGTCTTTATCACCTCCTAAAGCAAGTCTGCAATAATGCGCTTTCATCCAAGGGCAATGAGACGGCTGTGTTCTACGAAACTGGAGGGCACCAAGGTCAAATCAGAACCAACCACCGGCATGGCCTCCTTTCACTCAAGTCCGCTGCAAGAAATTGAAAGATCAGAAACATGAGAAGGAGGAGGAGAAGGAGGAGGAGGTGGTGGAAGTGGAAGTGGAAGTGGAGGTGGAGGTGGAGGTGGTGGAGCGAACATACTCACAGGCAGTCAGCAAGCTTCCTCTTGCTCACTATCGACAAGCTCAGGTCCCCTAGCTCGCTCAGGTCGCGGATGAACTTGAAGTCTGCTGTCGTCTGAACCCCGGCAGCCACCAGCTTGGGATAGACCTCGTTGATCTCATTCTGTGAAAGGCCGGCCGATCGCAGAGCCTCGATCACGTTGGCGCCACGATGCTGCACTGGGACACTGCTGCTGCTGTTGTTGTTGTTGTTGCTGCTGCTGTTGTTGTTGGTGCTGTTGTTTTGCAGGTTGGAGGTGTTGAAACCTTCAAGGATGTTGTTGTACGCTGCAAGCTGCTCGGGATTCAACGCGCCGAGTGCAGCAGGGGCAGGGAAAGGAGTTGGAGCTCCTGCTGCTCTGTTGAGTTGCACAGGGTCGAGGGATATGTTGATTCGCTGGGGGAACAGGTGGACAGCTCCAGGGTTTGCTCGCTGCCTGCACTGCAGGCATGCCCTCTGTGATGAAGATTAGAGGAAGGAAAGGGAGGGAAGGAGGGAGGGAGGGAGGGAGGGAATGAAAAAGAGGGAAGGAGGACAGATGCATTCAGGGGAACGCAAGACAATTTGACGCACCCGTTCGAATCGTGTCCATCCTGCTTTCTGGTCGCACTGCATTGAGAAGTCAAAAGTCTTTGACGACGTTGAATCATCATACAATCTGTCCAAGACAAAGTTATCCATGATCAGCATCTAAAGTTGAAGGACTTACACAACACTGAGAGGAGTGCGGAAGTTTGTTGAGTTGTCAAGAAATTCCTTCAGAGAGAAAAGTGGCCCGGTGAGTAGATGAAAGACTTACGTTCTGAACAAGATTGTCAGTCCAAAGAGAGCAGAACAAGGAAATAATCAGGTTTGAAGTCAGTAACAGACACCCACCTTCTGCTCCAAACGATCCCGTGTTGGTTTGAAAGAACGCTGGTGAGAACACGTGGGAGGAATCAAGGATACATTACCCCCTGGTCAAGACATGAGGATCAGAATGAAAGCAAGACATGTATAGTTCGACTCACTCGCTACGTTTGACAGCCGGAGAATGGAGACGGTCGAGTTTGAAAAGAGAAGGTTATGGAAGGGGGAGGAGAAAGGAAGGCGCTAGAGACTTACGAACTGACGTTGAAGAGGAACAAGATGAGACGATTGAGGAGAAAGCAACAAGGTCAAGAAGAAGGAGAAAATCACAAAGAAACTCACAAGCTGTTCATGATTAAAGAGAAAGGAAGCAAATCATCAAGTCAGGAATTCTTGCAGGAACAAAGCAATCTTGATCGTCAACTCACATTCTGCGACGTCCATGTAATTCCCAAGGAGTAGAAATTGGATATCAGAGGAAAGCTTCAAACTTGATTGAAGGGCTCACCTGCTGTGAATAAAGAGAGAGGGGGAGGAAGTTGCAGAAAAGAGAAAAAGAGAAAGAGAGAGAGAGAGAAAAAGAGAGAAAGAGAAGGACAACCAAGAAGAGGAGGGCAAAAAGGACGAAGATAGAATAAGATCAGCTGAGAATGAAAGTTTCTGACGCATCTCTTACCCACTAGAATATTGCAGCATGACGACAGGCAAACAAGGAAGGTGTCAGTAAGAATCCTGACAGCTGTGCTTTACAAGTTGAACTCACAAACTGTTCGTTGCGAGGATAGCAGGGTAACGCGAGGAGGAAGAGATACGAATCATTACAAAGCGCAAAAGGACTGAAGATCTTACAAACTGTGTCGATAGGTCGAGTGAGCAGATTGTCAAGCCAAAGGTCAGTTCTTGTCCACAGCATACAAGAAGCAAACTTACAGTCTGTTGTAGGAGAGGGGCGACATCAAGTAAGCAAAGACAAGTCATCAGTTGCCACTTATGCAGAGGTCTTGATGTTATCACCCGCTGAACATGTTGGCGTTCACAACAGCAGACCAACACAAGTTTTCATCAGCAATTAAGTAGAGAAGAAGAGGTGATGTTACGATCTGGGGTAAAACAGAGTCAAGTGTTTAAGACAAGATCAGTTTGCGAACTTACTTGCTGATTCATTGCGGAGGCGGGTTGAAGAAGCAAAAGGAAGAACGAAGTCAGCAAGACTGCCGGAGTCACAGGCAGACTTACCGACTTGAGTGTTGAAGAGGGAGGGCAATAGATTTCACAATGATCAGAGTCTTTCATGACAAACAAGTCCAGTAGCTGTTTACCGACTGCTCCATGGCAGAACAAATCATCGTAGCAAGGAGAAAGAGCGTATCAGAACGGGCTGAGGAAAGAAAAGAATATTGTTTTCGAGCAAACTCACAATCTGAAAGCAGAAGTCAGATGACAGCAAGCTCTCCAAGTTGCCTCTGTTCACTCACGTACTATCCAAACCGATGTAAGATAATGACAGGCAGAAGAGAGAAAAAGCGGTCTGGTCAGGGCTTGCTTTCACTAATACAAAGCATTCACCGGCTGAGAAACAAAGTCACTTCAGTTCGACTACAGAAACTTGAATTGAGATATCAAGGCAACAATCTGATTGAACATGCATGTTGCTTCCTTACCGTCTGATGTTTTGCATTCATTGAAGAAGATTTGCAGTCACATGAAGAACGTTATGCACTTACTCAAAGCCAAGGCAACAACAACTCACCCACTGTACGTCCCGTCCATCCGATGTCGGGTAGAGTTTAAGGAAGGCAGTTGATAATGAGTTTGATCAGTTCAACGACAACAATGTTGGTTTACCGGCTGAGCATCAAAATTGTCGTGAAATCACATGCAAGACATGTCAGTAAGAATCTAGAAAGTGTTGAGAACTCACACACTTTCCTCACAACGAATTCGTCGTTGAACATCAAACTCGTCAGAACACATGTGAAGAGTATCACTGATGCTCACCGACTAGAGAGAAGGAGAAAAATTCGCAAATAGCAAACATGGCAAATATTCAGATGGACTTGCATATGGTTGATTCAAACAGCTCACAATCTGTCTCGATGAATGTGCCGGAGAGAAAGAAGAGAAGAAACAAGTCATTCAATACGATGACTTGTTGCAGATTCTCACCCACTGCAAGGAAATTAAGAGATCAAAAGATGGGCAATCATGAAACTTACAACGCTCTGAGTTGTCGACAGATGTTGAGAGCAACAAGAAACAACATGACAGCATGTCATTCAACATCGTGCTGAAAACAAGAAGTCTGCACAAACTCACCGTCGTATGCTGCAAGTTGATCAAAGAAAGATCGGAAACAAGGTCAGTGAAGTACAAGCGATGGATTTGAATCAGTCACCCCGTGATGCTGTATATAAGCAACATCCCAAAACAAACATTCAGTCACAGGAAAGCATCGCTCAAATCATCAACCCTTCCGTTCTGTCCGCGGGTAGTGGCAATCAAGCAGATGGAAGAAAAAATTCAGTATCACATTTCTATGTTCAAATTGCAACAATCTCAATCAAAAATCTCACCCACTGTAGGGCAGACGAGAAGCAGTCCGAGAAAGTATTACAAGAAAGCGTCAGGTATTCAAGAGAATATTGTGCAAGAACTTACGCTTGATCTCTGTATGCAAACATTCAGATTTGTTGTCGCAGTCATTGAGTAAATTGCATGAAAAATCACATCTCTTTCTCACCGATTTCTGCAAATGCACCATTGTCAGACACACCACAATCAGTGAAAGCATTTAGACTTACACCCTGTCCATGTTTTGATCGCACGGTTGGAGAAAAATCAGCTTCAGTTCCGCTTCTTGCTTTCAGGCAAAGACAAGAAAAATCTTCACCGGCTGATATTTCAAACAGCACCATCATCGCACATGCACAATCGTTATGAGAGAGAATTTTCCAATCGCTACCGACTTACCACCTGCACAACCACAACAAGAGACGAAGTACATGAAAGAAATCAAATATGAAGTCAAGGTTGTGATCGCCAAGAAGTCGTTCACTCACGCCCTGACAAGGCAGAGAATTGTTTGCATCGTCGGAACACCATCAGTTCGAGAACAAGTGAACTTTGAGCAAACTCACGAACTGTGTTACAAACAAGTCAGTGAACGAACAGCATCTGATCGTCTTGCTGGGTACTCACCAGCTGCGATCAAGGGAGAAGAGGAGGATTAAGAAACGTCTCAGTCGACTCTCAAACGATCGACATGTTCGTACTGACCAACTGCTCGCCGTCGGTCCATCAAGTTGTGAGGAACAATCATATCAGCATGCGCAGCATCTTTGAACTGATTCTCGTACCGCCTTCTCAGGGAAAAAGTCCGTCGCATTTCAAACGATCGGCAAGAAGGGGATTGCGTCAGCAACAAACTCCGTATGAGATGTTCCATTCACCGGCTGATTGAAGTAAAGATATGGTCGAGATTCAGAGGACAGAGAATCAGTCGTGCTGTGTTGCATTCGATGCATCTTACCGACTGAAGGAGGTTGAATACAATAAAGACAACAATTCATCAGTTATCGCGACACCAATGTGAAAAGATTCAAAGTTCAGACTTACCAGCTGTCATGTTCGAAGGGTTGGGCAGGCGAGAAGCAAGAAACGAGTTCAGTCAGAAGGGCAGGAGGTTGAAGACTGATATCACCGCCTGTGACATGAAGGGTGTAGCAGAGCAGGAGCAGAGACCATGAAAAGTGAGAAGAACAAAATGAAACACAAACTCGAACTTACAACCTGATTGAAAACAGAGCATCACAAACAAGAAAGTCAGACTTGAAATTTGCACTCACCGCCTGATTGACACCAAGGAAGACGAAGAAGGGAAGAGAAATTGTAAGAAGAAGTCTTATGAACATGGCGTTGTCTTACCGCCTGAGGACAAGAAGAACAAGATCGAATAGAGAAGAAATTGTCAGATTCTTAACATTTCCTCTCCATACTTACAATCTGATTGGCCGAACACAGTCCGAGATTTTTCAACATCATCAGCAGGGGAAAAGATGTACTTTTCCAGTACACTCAACTCACCGCCTGTGGAAACAAAATACAAAACAACGATCAGTCAGAGCTAACAACAACGCCGGAGATGTGATATCATCAACTTACAAACTGTTGGCAATCAGAAATCCAACGAAGAAGCAAACGGAAAGAAATGATAAGTAAACGCATGCCAGATGATTTGGTTCCACAACTCACAAACGCATTCTATCAACCAGGGCAGGTCCAAGAAGCGAAGCAAGTCAGATCACATCGTACAACTGAAGATGCAGATACATTTGAGGTCTGTGAAGGAGAGTCAATTCATGTTGTAACAATACACATAGACTTACTCTCTGTGGCGATTGCATGAGAATAGGAGAAATCGATTCAGAGGAGTGTCAGTTGTGCTGCTGGCATTGCAATGTGACAACTTACCCCGAGCTATAGACAGCAGTGAGTGTGAGAGGCAGTGATTATAAAAGTTGAGAAGTAATCATGAAATCATCATCTTCAAGATCGAAAGCTTTCTTACCACCTGCAACAAGAAAGTTTCTTCTCAATGACATGTTGAATCGAATTCTTAGGTGAATACTCACCACCTATACGACAAGGAAAGAGTTTGCAACAAATGGCGAGGAAAGATGAAATGAAGTGAGTGAAAACAAGCCTCTGAGATGTGAATGGAACATACTCCCTGCAAAACGAAAAGCGAATGAGATCTCAGTTGATATTACAGGCTAGTTCATCACTCACGAGCTTCACGAACGATGAAAGTGAGATCGAAGAGGTTCGCATACGAAACATCTTGTCATTCTTTCGTGTCAAGGAGAGGCAGCGGAGGTTGTATTACCGTCTTGATGGAGCAGAAATGAGAGTATACACGTGAGAGATATCATGTCAGTTGATCAAACATCCTTGGATTCGAACCAGACTCAACTTACCCCCTGTGTAAAAGAACAGAGAAGAGCAGAAAAGATGAAGTTGGAAATTGAGGGTAAGCAGGAAAGGGCAAGAGACAACAAGAGAAGACATGTCAGTGGTTTTATCCGATGGGAATCAGTGAAACTCACCCACTGATAGTCGTCAATGTCATTCCCAAATCCAATAAAACAAGACAAAGGTTGTTCAGTTGACCCTCACCACGACGAAACAAGACTTACGAGCTAACGGAGCAAGTTGAGAACAAACCAACCACAGCTTGTCAGTTTCCTCAATGATCACTTTCAGCAAACTTACAACCTGATCGCACAAATCAAAAACACAGGTTTTTAATACAAATGTCAGGGCCAAAATCCAGTTTTTCACAATGTGCATGAAATACTCACAATCTGATCCGAAGAAAAGAGTGCCCGAACGCAGCAGAAGCAGTAAGAGGAATCATCAAGCTTGTCTCAAACCAACATTAAACTCCTCACCCACTGCAACCAATAGATCAGCAGCAGTTTATCAAAGAGCAAACCATTATCAGTCAGGCAGTACAGTCACAAGATACTTACCAGCTGCGGTCGAGCAAGACGATTTGAACAAGTGGAATATGCCGAGGCTGATCAGCGTGCAGCAGATCCAGGAGAACGCTTGAGCTTACCACCTGTCACATTCAGATGTAAACAGACAGGCAAAGTTGACTTCCATCAAAGAACAATGACAAGAGATCTGATCAAAATTTGATTCGAACTTACGATCTGTTAGGCCGGGAAAGCAGGTGGAAAAGCGAATGTAAGAAAAACATTCTTGTTACAACTTGTTTTGTATGAGTATATCATCATTACCAACTGCAATCATACATGTCGCAATCAGTGCAAAGAATTGAAATGATCAATCCAGATACACAGAAGACATTGAAACTCACCAGCTGAATGCGAGAAGGCACATCGAGATAACAAGGAAAGTAACACGTGTCAGTATCAGTGTATCCCTTACCCTTGGCCCTCTGCTCACCGCCTGATTCATTCGTAGACCATGTTCAGATGGCGATGGGGCAAATTTTAGCGAGGAAAGCAAGGTACACTGGTACATACCGCCTGCAAGATATTCCCTTCAGTGATGTTGAGATAGCGTCTGACAAGAATGGAGGAGATGGGAATAGTGGAGACAACTCTTATTCTTCATCACTTACCATCTGATCATCATCATATCGCATGTCGTATCAAAAACGATCAAGGTTGAGTAAACGATCAGTCTCTGCAACAAACATACAAGAAGTAGGAAATGAGATTTCACGCACTCACCCACTACGTGGCGCAGTCAAGAGAAGGGCGTTCAAACAAGAGGAATGTGCGTCAAAGATGAAACAGTCGACATTGAGATTGATTTTCTTACCGTCTGTTACGTTTCAACCGGCAACACAAAACACACATGTCAGAAGTTCTCAACATATTGACTTGATAGTTGACTCACCCACTGTTTTCAGGTGTGTTAGGACCAGGCGCCAGCCCAGGTAGAGCAACGATGAAACAAGCAAAGTCAGCAAGGAGAAATGAGCAGGCTCTAATGGGCTTCAACAAGGCAGAAAGTATCTACTCACATGCTGAGCGAAACCGGGAAACATCCAAAAAAAACAAAACAAGTCAGTATCATATGCTTTCAACCCCCCAATGACTCTCACAGCCTGGGAACAAGGCGGTAGTTGCATTCGAGGTCAAGAACTCATAGTCAGCATCGGATGATGGCATCGTCTTGTTTCAGCGCACCTCCTGCCATGTTGAGGGCAAGAGAAGATTTCACAGTCAAATGTGCCAGCCAAGGAAACAAGCGCAAAAACTCACAAACTGTAGAGCGCCCGTCGGCAAAGGGACGATCGCAACCAAAACACATCAGCATGTGATGGGATATGGGAACAAAAGAACAAGTCTCACTCGCTGATAGCAAGAGGCAGGAAGGTGACGGGAACGGCAGAAGGAGAAGAAACATAGTGAGTGATTGTTGCAACACTCGTAAGGGAGAACTCACTCCCTAGAGGCGTCGAGTCAGCCAAGGTAGAAGAGAAGAAGCAGAGGGGTGTTAGTCGAACAAGGGATGATGATCATGTTGGAAATACCGCCTGAGAAGACCATTTCACATAACGTTTGATGGAGTGACTCAGATTTCAGCGCATCATCCATGGAGAAGCGTCGCACTTACCGCCTACGAGTCAGCTCAGCGATGCTTCATTTGCAAGGGCAGTGCAACTTACACAGACGTTGGGATTCGACTTGTTTCCTACCATGATCGGGGTCTAGCAGGAGGCGTCACGAGACTGGGAGAGGGGAGGCGAGGCGAGGCGAGGAGACAGTGGGGGAGGGGAGCGAAGGGGACGCAAGAGGAGGAGAGAGGTGGAAGAGTGATGTTAGGGGTGTTGAGAGAAGTGAGATGAAGGCTGGAAGGAAGACGATGGAACGAAATGCTTGTTACCTGGCATTCCTTGCACTCCTGTACCGCCATGTTCGCTTTGTGGCAAAACAAGGAAAAGGGGCCATCATCGTCATAGGGGGTACTTTCCCCCCCATTCGACGGGAGTTTTGGGGGTAGTCATGACACCCCGAAGTTAACAAATTTCGGACTCGGACTGTGACCCGCCCCCTGTCACGTGACTCCCATCACCGTCACCATGGCGGTGCCGCAGACGGTCCGGCCCGCGCGGAGGTTATACTCAAAATAAGTTCCGGGAGTCCGGCCTGTTAGGAGTCTGAGTAACTTGCCAGTTGAAAGCCTTGAAAGCCTCATGGCACGCCCGGACTCCTGAGTGACCGTCGGACCAACCGGGCCGGGCCGCGCCGGTACCCGCGGCAGCGCGTCCGAGTCGCAGGGACGGGCGGCTCAGCGGCCAGCCTACTGTGACGACGTTAAAGTTACCGCGCTGCGCGGCCGCGGTCCGGGCCGGAGATCTGACTGAGTCGACCCGTACCCGGCCGCACGGCCCGCCCGCGCCGCGGCCCGACTCCGGCCGGCGAGCCGCTCAGGCTCAGCACCATCATGAGTCGTCCGTCGCCGGGTCGGTCTCGCCGACGCAGCCGCTTCACTGAGTCTGAGTGAGGCCCTAGTATCAGTGCCCCTCAGCCTGATGATCGGACGCTTGTTTTTTAAATGTTTTTTCTCCGAGTCATGCCGACGGTTCGTTTGTTTGTTTGTCGCCGATCATCAGTCACTGCTGGGCCTTAATCGTCCGCCGACCAACTTGCGGCAACCCGGGCCGGGACGCCTTATATGTCCCCCCCCCCCTTTTAACATTATTTTTAAGAGCACAGTAGAAGAACATTACTCATAATTTTACGTGGTTGTACGATGTATATAGTCAACAATTTGAGATATTTTAAAAGGACCCCAAGGACAGTACCACAGACCAATATATGTATAAACACTTTTAAAAAGTTTTGATACAAAACAACAACGATACACCGTTTCATCTTTAATATCCAGTTATATCTTCGACATAAATAAATCTTTTTGTAATGGAATTGTGACCCTCCACCACCCCCACCCCCTTGTTACAATGACCATCCCGTTGTCACCACCAGGGACCACCCCATCTCCGTGGATCTACGACTACCCACCCCTACAACTCATCACCCTACCACAGCAGTAGTACAGTTTATCTCACCACCCCTATTCTCAGTGTCTCTTTACCCTAGTTTGTAGCAAGAATTGGGTACCCTACCCTACCATACGACAGCATCCGGTTCTCATATCACCCTACCCACACATATCATGTACCCTACCCGACAATTGTCAAGAAGGACACAAGAGGGTGGTATCTTTCGATGCTAAGAATGGGTACCCTACCCTTCACAGTACTGAACTTGACTACCCACCATGTACGACACAATCTTGAGCGCTAAGAAGGTGGAGACATTAATGGAACTTCTTAATCACAGGTTTTAGTTAAATATATTTCACGCTCTAAAACTGAACAAAAAAAGGCTCTTGGCCTAAGTCAGGACCCCATAAAAAGAAGTCGTTCCCTTCCTGCAGGCTTCCCACATACTCCACGCTGTCAGCGCTACTTCCGTTCATGCCGGAAGCATCCTTTCTGCACCTCCTCCCTCCCTCCCTCCTCCTCCTCCTCCTCTTGCCTCCCTGTGCCTTTCTTGTTGATCTCCTCTCTCCTTCCTCGATCATCATCACACTGAGCGTTCTTATGTCTCACTCCTCAAGTGAACATTTTTGACCCATTCGGCATGATCAGTTTCCTTTGCTTGACTACTGCAGTTTGGGTTGATTTTGTTCTCAATGCTTCTGATCATCATATGAGCTGAGCTGACTTAAGAAGATTTCTCTGCAGCTCGTCCCTTGTCATGGTGTGATGACCCTTCCTGCATTCCCCGTTACCCTGTTTCGCTTTTGTTTGATTGCTGTTGTGGGAAATTGTGCCTGGGATCGATCCATCCATACCACCTCCTGATATCATCCCAACAGTTCTTGATGGCTGCAAGAATATTGAATAATGCATGCAAGCAAGCATTGTTCGAGGACTTACGCGGCGTAATGCATAGCGATTCAAAGCCAGCTTCTGCTATTATGTTTTCTCGTGCTCAGGCTGATATAGAGAGCCGCTACCAGATAGAGATTGAGGCAGAAAGAGTTAAATCATTTCAAGGCTTACTGTTTCAACTGTCATGTCGTCATATGTAACTGACACGTTTTGCAGAATTCCTTGAGATGGCTGGTCGTGGCTACAGTGGGGCACTCTGAATGAAGCCTCAGTCAAGGTCTTAGTCAAGGTCCGATCGTGCGGGTGGAGGTGTACAGTTGCTCACAGGTGTTGGGGCAGGGAGACGAGAGGCTTATTGTCATCTAAGACCTTCGGCTTTCACACTCATGGGGTGGGTGGAGAACCTCCGGAGGTTTGGCCTTCAAGGAACCGTGGACCTTAACTCTGAGAGGATTGGGCCGCTGGGAGCCGGTCAGCTCGGGGACCTCCTTGCTCACAACTCAACCGTCGATGGGCTGGATCTGCGAGACACCATCCTTGGTGCCGTGGGGGCGACCCACATCGCACGCATGCTCCACACCAACACCACGCTGCAAACCCTTGACCTCGCGTCGAACGCGATCGAAGACAGGGGAGCGACGGCTCTTGCCGAGGCGATCAAGGTGAACAACACGTTGGTCAAGCTCGAGCTGCAGAGAAACGGGATTAGCTCGGAGGGGGCGAGATACATTGCGGATGCGCTAAGGCAGAACACGTCACTGCAGGTGATTATGACCTCTGTTCTCTGTCCAGGCACTTGTTGCTCGGTGTTTGTCTTTGACAGTTCTGCTTATGAGTCTGTTACAGTATCTGGGGTTTGCTTTCAATGGATTTGGTGATGCGGGAGCGACACATCTAGCTGAGGTTCTAGCTGGACAGAACACAACATTGAAACAGCTCGATCTCGGTTTCAATGGTACAATTTCATGTTGAGCAGTGCTTTTCGTGTTTGAAGGGGATGGAAGCTTCTTGATTGCTCACGAACATGGTCTAGGTGTCTGTACTGATGGAGCGAGGGCGTTGGCGTGCGGGCTGACAAAGAATCACTGGCTTGAAACTTTGGTATGAAAGGATGAGAGATCTGGTTCTTATCAACACCTGCCTGTGACTATCGCATCTTGTAGGAGTTAGGATACAACGGCATCACGGACGCTGTGAGACGATCAGTGACGTCCTCGTAGTTCCTTTGTTCTGAATGTCATGGGCAGGGAGCGTTGGAGCTAGCGCGAGCCATGCGAACTAACACAGTCTTGACAAGTCTTGGAGTACCGTCGAATGGTTGGACCTCTGACAGTCAGGCGACTTGTGGGTGACCCCAGTGTGTGTAGGTATAAGCGACGCAGGCGCTGCCGAACTTGCAAGTGGGTGGATGATCCTGCCGTGAGCATAAGGCTCATCCTTTGTTGCAGACGCGCTGAGGGACAACTGCACTTTGGTTCAAGTCGGGTTGAGTTCCAACAGCATTGGTGAGTGCAGAGATGATGAATACGCGCCGTGTGTACTGATATTTGCTGGGCGAGCAGGTAATAAAGGAGCGAAGGAATTGGCGGATGTATTGAATATGAATTATGCGCTTGAAACTTTGTATTTAGAAGGTGGGGACGAGGATGTGTTATCGTTAGGCAGGCATCTTATGTTCATGCAGAAAACGATGTAGATGAGGATGGCGAGGGAGCTGTTGCTCTCCGCAAGGTAACGAGCCAGTGCAGTGCGTGTCGACCGGGATGTGATTTCTCTTCACCGCAGGTACTGAAAACACGTTCAAGATCAAATGGTTCGATCCGACGTCGCAGATTGCGTTCGCGATGGGTTTGCATGAGGTGAGAACCTGCCGGGAGCGCTGGTGAAAGTCTCATGCTCTCTCGTGTTGCAGCGTCTGGGGGTCAGGAGTTACGTTCATCTTCTTGATCAGGTTTTTCCTTCATCTCCCTCCCTCACAGCTCTTGTTTCCGCAAGCTTTCCTCTTCCATGGCACTCCCTCCTCTGCCTTTGTGCCTTGCTCCACTCTGCTCTGCTCTGTACTAAGGTTGACTTCTTCTTCCCGCAGCATCTTGTACAGGAAATTCTGCGATACACCCATGATCGAGTCCGACGAGACATTCAATTTTATCCTCGGAGTTGACAATTCTCAACTTGTCAGCCTAGCGGGCGGTGAGCGATCCGTCATCTTGCAAGTGGACGACGAGCTTGGAAGATGCTGGAGAGGAGAGGGAAACTGTAATATTTCTGTGAAAAACAAAGGCTCCTTGCATGTAGACATAGGCGCTACACCCAGGTATCTATGTACACTTCTCTTCCACAACCTCCTCCTATATCACACGATGATCTTGGGCATCGAGGTCGACGGTGGAACGCTCTTTGGCTCGTCCTGCACCCCGACCGGCATCGTTTGCGCAAAGTACGACCGATTCTGCGTGGGTTCCTCCCTCACCACCTCCTCTTCAACCCGCTGCTCCTCCTTGGGAAACTCCCACTTGAAATCCGCCTGCACGACTCCATGAGATCCTCCTCCTCCTCCTCCTCCTCCTCCTCCTCCTCCTCCTCCTCCTCCTCACTCTCGCTCACCCCGGGAGCATTTACTGCTACCACCAGCGCTCCAATGTGCACCGCTCCGAGCACCAGCAGCACCTCAGCCATTCTCTATCACCTGGCAAGTCAATGCAGAGTCAGCCAGAAAAAGCATTGAGGGAACTTATTTCATAATGGCTCGGAGCCTTTTTGGGTTCCTCGAGTCCAGCTTGCGCCACCCTCACTTCGCCCTCCTCAACTTCCAACTTTGTCGCCCTCCAGCTCCTATACTGTTAATCTCTGCCATTCTACTCGGAGTACTCCCAAATATCATCCCAGAAACCCGGCAAGGAAATTGCATCATCCTCTACGCGTTTATCCCCTCGTGACACCTCGTGTTCGGTACCTGTGCCTTATCTTCTGTCCCCAATGTGCTTCTAACTCTTACTCTTACTCGTACTCTTACTCTTACTCTTACTCGGTGTCTGTGTCTGCCTGTCTGCCTGCCTGCCTGCCTGCCTGCCTGCCTGCCTGCCTGCCTGCCTGTCTTCGCATTTTTCTCCGCTACATCGTTTTTCGTTAATGCTCCGTCTCTTGAAGCCATCCTTTCTTGTTCTCGAGCACCCTACCCATCCTTCCTTTAATGGACCCCTACTTCTTACTAAAACTTGCGCATGAAAGGACGGGTGGTAAATTCAATCAGATGGTACACTGGGGTACCAAGAGTACGGGTTATTTGATCGAAGATGAATGGGGTACATGTACAGGGTGGGCATTGGGGGACTAGGAGGAGGAGGTTTAGGGTGGGGGCGATCGACCAGTGTGGTAGTATACGAAAATACCCCTCCTTATTCACATTTTCCCAGTAATTGTGAGGGTGGGGTAATAAAAAAGGAGGGGTAGTCTTCCCGCTAGCAAGGGATTGGCAGCTGAGGGTAGGGCAACAAGGTGATAGCAAATTCTTGGGGTATTTCTGTTTTAGTACCGGTGGGGTAGTCATAAATGGTAAACTATGATTACAAGGGTGGGGATAAAATGAGTACAAATGGGGGGACATAGTAATGAAAGAGGGGTAGTCAAGAAATGTTGGGGGTCAGGGTAGGAAGGGGAGGGGTATTTGGAAGCAGGGTAGGAAGGTTGCGGTCACCGCTGTTTTCATGGTCAAGAGTGTCAAGGAAGAACAAGAGAAAATGCGGAGCAGGAGAAGAGAAAACGACAAGAGATGGCGAGGAGAACGAGCAATGAAGTGAGAGGTTGAGAGAAAATGTGGTAAGGGTCTGGAAGAAAGACGAGAATGCATAGAGACGAATGGAATATTTCTGACTAAGTCGTGTCAAGCTGAAAAGGAGTGGGAAGGGAAGAGGATGAGGTATGGAGGACATCAACCAAGAGGCTACTGGGACTCATTGATTTGATGAGTTTGAGAGGAAAACGGAGACTAGATCAGAACAAAGATCAGGCAAGCAGCTACAAAGGTTCTTGGACAACAAGCCGACAGTGACGAAGGAGGGAAACGGCAGACAGGAATTTGAGGTCGAGAGAACAGCATGGAGGGAAAGTGTAGACGATGTGATTTCTAGCAAAAATATGAAAAACAGGATGCATTAGTCGTAACAAACAAAAATAATTGGGTGAGATTCAGATGTCATAAGGATCTTTGTGTGGACAATCGCTACAATGCGGAAAGGGGCCAGGATCCATACGAAAGGGCAGAGACATGCTGATTGTTTGATGTTCATAGCGAGAGAATCTAAAGATTCTATCCTGTAGCATGCTCTCTCACTTTGTATGGCTGATATCGCTTCGCGCTCTTTGCAGGTCTCTCAGGCAAAATGGCGGAGCAGCAGGCCGACGAGCTGGTCGCAAAGGCCGAGAAGAAACTCAAGGGTGAGGATGAAGACTGTTGAAGTAACTTGCTACGATGACGATGAGATGACGATGAGATGACGATGAGATGACTTGCCCGCTGGCAGGTGGCATGTTCGGCAGTCTGTTTGGGAGCAAGAAAGAAGATGCGATCGAGTTGTACCAAGAGGCAGCAAACAAGTACAAGCAGGTGAGGACTAGATGAGGGATTGGAGGGCCTTCGCTCATGTCACGTCCAGGCAAAACGATGGAGCTCGTGCGGAGACGCTCACAGGAAGAGTGCGGAGCTGCAGCTAGCTTTGAATGACAAGTTCGGAGCTGCTTCCAGGTAACACCCAAGGCGGGGACCGTGCTTGTTGCTGCATGAAGGAGGAAGGCTGGTCTTCGTTGTTGTCTCCTGTCCTCTCATCTGATCTCCCTTCCTCTGACCTGACCTGACCTGACCTCATCGGATATCACTCCATGGGATCGCATCTCATCTCATCTCATCTCACCTGAGAATACTCTTTCGATAATTTGTCTCATCCACTGTGTTCCTTTGAAGGTTAATGGTTGCTTACTGTCGATGCAGCTTTCAGGCAGCTTTTCAAGCATACAAGAAGGACGCTGGCTCGTCTACGGTTGCGGTCGAATGCTTGTATTCGCTATCTCTATGCATCCGGAGAGGATGACAGACATCTTAGGAATCAAGCTATCGATCTTCACATCAACAACGGGCGATTCTCGCAGGCTGCCAAGTTTCACAAAGAAGCTGGTAATATTCTCATGACGCGAAATTTGATATGAAATGTGACGTGATCCGATGGTTTGAGATGATCTGTGATATGACATATGATATGAAAGTTTGAAAACAATTCTGCTTGGGAGCATCTCGCTAGCGATCTTTGTTCTTCTCACTTATCTTTGCAGGAGAATTGTTTGAGTCAGATTTGAATTATCCGAAAGCAATCGAACACTTCCAGGTGACAGGACACTTCGTATCTCCTCTTCCTCCCCTCTTCCTTGTCCTTTCTTCCCCTTCCCCTTTCCTCTTCATTCTTCTTTTCTTCACTTCTTCCGCTCTCTTCCCTGTTTTACTTCGCCTCTCCATTCCTCCATTCACTTGCGTCTTCGTTTTGCTTTTCTGAAGAGCTTGAACAGCTTGCTGGAGATTATTACAAAGGAGAAGACCAGACGAGCTCGTCGAACCAATGCTTCTTGCGCGTTGCTGTCCTATCGGCAGGTGAAATCCCTTCGAAGATACTGCAGACTATAGCAGAGGGACCGAGGAACCGTGAATGGCTGACGCTGGTGCTGTTGACAGAGCAAGAGCAGTACACGAGGGCGATCGAGGTGTTCGAATCCGTTGCCTCCTCCTCCTTGGATGTCGCCCTCCTCAAGGTCGATCACCCTCTCTCCATGGGCAGGTTCTGATCGGTTGGCTCGCAGTGGAGCGTCAAAGATTATTTCTTTCAAGCCGGTCTCTGCCACCTTGCCACCGGCGACGTAATCGCGTTCAAGCGAGCGGTAGATCGGTGAGTTGCTGGAGATCGGGGAGGAGAGGAGTTGAAGAGGAGAGGAGTTGAAGAGGAGAGGGAGATGGGAGGAGAAGGAGAGGGAGAGGTGGGGATTCAAAGTTTGAGAGGAGTGAAGAGGGGGAATCAAGGAAGGGTTTTGGGACTTCTTTTGTCCTTTGTCGGATCTGTAAATGACACTTGACACGCCAGGTATCAAGACCTCGATGTCAGCTTCTCTGACACGAGAGAGTGCAAATTGTGAGTTCATATCTCCTCCCTCCTCCCTCCTCTCTCCTCCCTCCTCCCTCCTCTCTCCTCCCTCCTCCCTCCTCCCTCCTCCCTCCTCCCTCCCCTCGTCGTCCACCACGACCGCCACCGCCTCCTTCCCTAGCATCCTCCTTGTTTTCATGGCCTTGCTTTTTTGCCTTATACTTCCTCCTTGCAGATTACAAGATCTTGGGGAGGCATACGAGGAACAGGTTGTTAACTTATTTTAACATATCCTTCCTCCTCTCTCCTCTCCTTCATTTTTCCTGTTTCTAGCTCCATTTGTCTTCTTGTGCTGCTTTTACTTCAACGCCTCTTCTTCCCCTCTGCCTCATTTCTCCTCGTCCCTCTCTTGTATCTCATGCCTTTACGCAGGATGTCGAGAAATTCACGAATGCTGTCTTTGAATTCGATCAGGTCTGACAATTATCAAGAGAAGAATGCATGATGATGGAGTGATGGTGATGATGATGATGATGATGGAGATGATGATGGTGAGGAGGAAGAGGAGGGAGATGTTGATTGCGTAGTTGCTGTTACTTCTGCTCATGATGTTGCGGAGCTCATGATGGTGTTGACGGAAATGATGATGTTGGCGATGCAGATATCGAAACTCGACAAGTGGAAGACATCTCTGCTCCTCAAAGTCAAGAATCAGCTCAAAGAATCCGATCTCACTTGAAGTTGTGCGAGAGAAGATGATGTTTGTCAAGTGTTCCTGTTGAGCACGGCGCTGCCAGTTCTAGTGCGGGTGCGAGGAGAAGATGTTGGAAGAATGAGAGGAGTGAGAGGTGGTAAGTAGCAGGTGTGAGCTACGGATGTAGAAGATATGACACAATTGTTCAATGAAGTGCATCCAAAGAAATTATGTACAACATAACACACGACAGCAGAGGAGGAGGAGGATTCAAGAGAAGGCGTGTTTCCCAGACATACGTGCGGATAATATTCAGAGGAGTGGGAGGATAGGGTAGGAAGAAGAAAGAGGGAGGAGGAGAAGTTGGACAAGAGGGGGGGGAGGGGAGGAGAGGGTGGGAGGTGTTCACACAGTTGTCCCGCTGGAGAAAGAGAGAGAATCTTGAGCCAGAATGGCTTCACCGTCATCCTGCCATGTCAAGGTCAGCATGCAATCGTTCCCGTTGGCTCAACTAACACCACCGCCATCCTGCTGCTTCTGCTCTTGCTCCTGCTCCACCACCTCCATCTCCACCACCACCACCACCACCACTTCCTCCTCCTCCTGCAACTCCACCACCACCACCACCACCACCACCACCACTTCCTCTTCCTCCTCCTCCTCCTCCTCCTCCTCCTCCTCAGTCTTGCCTGTTTGTGTAGCTCAGGCTTGAAAGTGCCCTGAACATGAAGGACTATTAACGAGAAGCAGCAGACCACCAAGTTAACGATGCCGACCATGACGAGTGGAGCACCTGCAACACTCAATCAGCGTTGCCTTCTTCTTCTTCATCATCTTCATCTTCATCTTCATCTTCATCATCATTATCTCGATCATCATCTACGTCTCCATGATCATCTCAATCATCATAATCGTCATAATTTTCATCGTTGACAGTCTGTTTCTCTGTATCGTCATGGCTCACCATATCCAACTTTGTCGTAGACGATTCCCCCAAGGGCTCCGACGCACAAGATCCCAAGACTTGCAGAGACTCCGAAAGCTCCACTCAACGTCTGACCCTCAAACATCACTTCCTCCTCCTCCTCCTCCTCCTCCTCCTCCTCTCCATCGTCCTACTCTTCCTCCTCCCCACTCCGTCCTCCCCCCCGCACCCCCCCTCCTCCTCGTCCTCGTCTTCCTCGTCCTCCCTGTCTTCCTCCTCTTACTCCTCTCGATTTCTCCGGCGCTCGACGAGACATGAGGAACTGGCAGGTCACCACCACCCCCATCTCCGCCATCCCCACCACCACTCCCAGTAGGAGCCCCAGGGGGCCAGCCGGGTTGACGACCAGCAGGCCCAGGGACCCGTAGGCGAGGGTGGCGAGGAGGGAGGAGGAGGCCATGGACCGCACGTCCCCCACCTTGTCCACCCACCGCCCGATCAGCGGCGCCGACCTGCCAACTCTCTCAGCTCCGGCAGTTTGCGGGCCCTCTACAGCCTTACAGCAGGGCTGCCAGCTGGACGATGCCGGTCACCATGCCAGCCGTGGCGGTAGCTTGCGAGCCTGTAGAGTGGAGGACGTCGCGGGAGTAGTCGGAGACCCAGAGGGAGAGGAAGACGGTGATAGACGCGCTGTCTCCTCGGCCTGCGAAGGAGGCGAGGAGGGCGAGGAGGATGGCAAGGTCCTGCCGGGTCGCGTGAAGGGCCTCCAGCAGCGAGAGCCTCGTCCTCTCCCACCCAAGTTTCATCGCCTCCCGCCCAGAGGAGGAGGAGCGGAGCAACGCAGTCACGCCTGCCTCCTCCTTCCCATGATGCCTCGAGGCTTGTCCGACAGTCGGCGGCCTCAGCGCAAAGAGCGCGAGCATGGAAGCGAGGAGCGCAATGGTGGCAGCCGTGTAGTAGCTGCAGGGCCGTCACAGTCATCCAGCACAGGAGGCGACATGCTACCCGCAGTGAACTGCCGCGAGCTGCGTCATCCTTCCTGCCGCTGCCGTCAGAGGACACAGAGGCGCCTTGCTGCCAGCAGACCCGAGGAGAGCTTGAAGGCCCACTCGGGCACGCGCAGTAGGACCTGGGAGAGAAAGTGAGGGAGAGAGAGAGAGGAGAAGAAGGTAGCAGCGGCAGGGGACGAGGAATACCAGAGCTCCGAAGACGGCACCGAGTCCTGCAAAGAAGCCTACAAGCCCTGACGCTTTCCCCTGCTCACCTTTGAGAAGACTAGATCATTTCTGGATGCGCCTACCTTGTCTTCCTCCTCAAACATGTCGGCGAGCACAGCGGTCACTGGAGGGAGGAACGAGATAAAAGGTCAGGGCCGGAGGGAGGGAGGGAGGGAGGGAGGGAGAGAGGGAGGAGGGAGGTGGAGTGAGGGAGAAGGGAGAAGGGAATAAGAGAGGAGGGAGGAGGGAGTGAGGGAGGAGGGAGGAGGGAATGAGGGAGGAGGGAGGAGGAAGGTTCAGGGGTACATTACCCATCGCTCCAAGAGTCCCAGCTCCTATAGCGAAGAGACATCGCCACAAGAATATATCCTTTTCAGAATGTTATCTTTCTTGCCGATGCCCTTCTCCTGATCCTCCTCTTCCTGAACTATCTTCCTTTCTCCATCCTCCTTCCTAGCTCTTTCTCTTTCCCATCCATCTCGCCATGTCATCATCATCATCATCATCATCATCATCATCATCATCATCATCATCATCATCATCATCATCATCATCAGCAGCAGCAGCAGCAGCAGCAGCAGCAGCAGCAGCAGCAGCAGCAGCAGCAGCAGCAGCAGGATCAGATGCAGCAGCAGCATACTCATCCATCGCTATAAACTCTTGTAGTCTCCTCATAATCTCCCTTCTCACATCCATTCTTCTTCTTTGTCATCACCTCTACGCTCGCAGACGTTGCCAGCATCGCAGTCGTCACCGAACAGACGAACAGGCCTGCAAGGACATCACTCCTACTCAAACCATTCTTGGTGAGGAGGGGGAGGGGGGATGGGGGAGGGGAGGGAGAGGTGAGGGAAGGGGAGGGAGAGGGAAGGAGAAGGTTGGTAAGGGGGAGGGGAGGGGCACCGAAACTGAACAAGACTCGTCGACCAAGACTATCTGACAGGGTGCCCATCACTGCCCCGCTGATCATCGCTGTGATCTCTGCGTACAACTTTCGGATCTCCCGTCAAGCACAGGAAGGCTGGTCGAGCTTGACGCACCAAGATCTGCCCGGAGATCGTCCCGATGTCACTCTTCTTGGCCGTCGACTCTTGCGGCGAGTGAGAGCTCGCGTTGCCGTCTATCGCAACTTCACTCCTCTCCTCTCCCTCCTCCTCCACCTTCTCCTCCTTCCCCTCCCCTCCCCTCCCTCCTTCTCCCTCCCTCCACCCTCCCTTTCCCCTCTCCTTCCCTCTCCTTCCCCCTCTCCCTTCCCCTCCTCACCGAGAATCGGTCTGAGCAGAGAAGGCTGCGCGGCATTGATGAAGACAAACATAGAGATAGAGCTGCTGACCTGCGGCAGCCGGCGAGTCAGAGGAAGAGGGGCAAGTGAACTACAAGGCTACTCACAAGGACGAAGAAAGCTATCAGCTGCATCGAAGAAATCCCCTCCTTCGCTCTTACCCACATCTGCAGCCCATGCCGCCGTCAGCCCCTCCCCTCCTCTACACTTCGCCTCGCGCAATCTTGACCGACTTGTTGATCTCGTGAGTCTATGCTCCCGTCATTGCACTCGCGACAAATCCTCCCTTCCCCGCGCAATCCCTTCCCACAGCCAAACGGAGAGCATTCTCACCAACTCCTCCCCTCGGTGGAATGACATTCTTCCAGTCTTTGTACCCCCTCCCCTTCCTCTCTTCCTCGCCCTCCTCATTGTCCTCGTGCTCCTCTCAAGTTTCTTCTCACATACCCTATCTAACATCCTCCTCTCCTCCTCCTCCTCTCCTCCTCCTCCTCCTCCTCCTCCACTTCGTTGCTCGAGCGCTGCTAGGCCGTGATGGGTGCAAGGTGCAAGGATTGTAGCGGGGTTACAAGCAATTACAACGGGGTAGTGGTACAGAAGAAAGGGTACTTATCCCTTCAATTCACTATCAAAAGGACGGGTATCAAAGTTCAAGGTAGGGGTGGGTCGAATCACATCCCCTTTGTCGTAATCGAGGAGTCCGACACTCAATCGAGTCCTGAGCAGGGCAGGGCAGGGCAGGGCAGGGCAGAGAAGCAGATGTGTGAAAGTGAGCAGGGCAGAGCAGCCTGAGGGCAGGGCAGGGCAGGGCAGACATGACGCGACAAACAAGAAGAAGGGAAGAGGCAGAGCGAGTCCGTTCTTATTGCACATCATCGAAGGAAGGAAAGATAAGGAACGAATACAAGTTTGCTTTCGAAAACGATGTCTAAAATCGTGTCGATGATGTAAGATAGAAGGAGATCACTTGAACAGGAACACTGATGGGCTGAAGAACGGATCTGGCATAGATGTCTGAGCTGCGCATGAATTCTTAGTTGAGTCCAAAACTTTTGTGCACCATTGCACTATCAGGGAGCTGCTTCTAATATCAGCTCTGCCCGTCAATGGACGATGAACTTGACTCTCAGAGGCAATTTCTTGTACACACAACAGCGAGATCAACGACGCTGCGAGTAGAGCAAGAAGTGTGTGAAAGGTATAAGATCAGAAGACACAAGTCTTTCAGTTTACTTGAGGTAATCCATGCAAACATCAAGCTTGGTGCGCACACAAGGGGGAGGCAGGAAGAGCTGCCGCGCTGATGCTGCGTCCTGTTAACATGGGAATATCCGTGGAGGTATGAGTGAATCCTCCTGGATACAACACCAGTGTCGAATGTTTTAATGTGACATTCGAGATAGAGCACATTGAAGAACTAAAAAATTTCACGCCTCATCAGAATAGAAACACAAGAACAACACCATAGAGATGCTGAACTAGATTACAACGTTGCAAACAACTCCTGTCTAGTCGAAGCAACCTTTCGTCCTTGATTTGAACCAACTTCAAAGTTGCAGCTCTGACCCTGTTGCACTTGTTATCCGAGGCCTTGCTGGCCGGCTCAAGAGCTCGATGCAGTACTGCAGGCTGCTGAGCTTCCTCTGCCTTTGCATCATAATCGTTCGCTTCTCTTCCTCGTCTTGCGTTCTGTTCTCATGGAGAAGAAATTCAGAATCCGTCATTTGAACCACATCATCCCCATTTTCAGCGGTCGGCTCGTGTAGCATGGCATACCCCATTTCAGTCATATGCTGTAGATGCGAGATTGCGATGCTGCAACGGCTTCGTGTCGACGAGAATTAGAGAGCCACGACCATACCGTGGGGAAGGGGAGGGGGAGCAGAGGGAGCAGAGGGAGCAGGAGCAGGAGGGGCAGGTAGCGAAGCTGAGTCTTGTTTTCACCCTCCCGTCCTTGCTGTTGTGCTTCTTCTACTGCCCTTCTCGTCTCCCCGCTGCTTCTTCTGCCAAGTTGCTTCTTGCTACGTCCACCCGACCTCCGTACACCGCTTCAACCCAATGCCTGTTCCCTCGACCGACCTCTTGGATTTTGACCTGACCGGTCAAATCAAATCTCGTTCGATCTCCGGGTATCTCGGACCCGGAAAACCGTCGGTTCATGATACCACCTTTACTAGCAAGTTACTAGCCCGGCTCGGTGATACCCGGTACCGTCACGGTACTAACGGGCCGCCCGGGCTACCCGAGTGACCCCTTCAGGTCGTACATCAAGTTTTTAACTTCACTTATCTTTGAGTAAAGGAGTCCCGGAGTCCCGATCATCTAGACCACCGCCGAGTCGTCTTCAACTTGACAAGTTGTTCGACGGTGATCGGACGGTGTCAAGGCCACTGGTAGAGTCAAGACGACTTCCGAGTTCAGTGAGCTCTACTATGCCCCTCAGTCTCCGTTGCTTCCTGACCGTGACTGGCTGAGTCCAGAACTTTCGCCGACTGGGTGCCTGGATCGCCGGGGGGCCTCGGAGGCTCCCCCAGCTTCTGTCACACCTGCTCGAGCTATGCGGAACTTGCGCGATGAGAAGAAGCGCTTGTGGGTAAGACCATCAGAGTTGAACTCACAGACCAGATGTCTGCGAAGCTGAGCTGATGTCGCCGCCGATGTAGGGCGGTTCTGCATGAGAGACATGAAGGGATCAGCTCCTGCAAGGCCAGGAAAGCTTCCAGCGGGCAGTATCGAAAGAGATCGCGCTACCAGAGGGCCTTGCGTTACCCTTCTTTGATCCGGTAAAAACAGCCTGACCGCTCCCTGATACGATCCCGTGAGCGCTGAAAAGTTTGTGTTCCTATCTTCCACTGCAGCTGAGGGGAAATGATTTTACAGAGCTTATAGTCTCAGCAGATGCGGAAGAGCAAAAGTTAGACGAATCTACCAGAGACACCGAGGGGTCAGAAAACGTCGACGATGACTCATCGTCCAGGTCATTCGTTGGTTGGTGGGCAGACAGGTTCGGCCCTGTGTCGTCCTTGTAGTCCTTGTCAAGCTTCCAATTGCCTGATGAACAAGGAAAGAGCGTTTTTTTTATTTTCTTACATGATGGAGATGTTCCTAGGGATTTCGAGCAAATGATATCGATGAATGAGATCTCTGCACCAACTTGCTTCAGACTGCTGGGTCTTGACGGTTGCACTCTCCCTTATGTAGTTGGTAGTTTCAAGCATTCCTTGCACTCTCCGAAACGTGACTTTGACCGTTTCATGCATGCTAAACTTCTCTTGGTACACTCCTCCTTGGCGTATTCGTCAGTTTCGACCAGACACCTTGTGTCGCTCGATTGTTTCTTTTCAATCTTGTTGGCAAGATGTATGATCATCATATATGATTCAACAACGTGCCGCCACCGCACCTGATGCTTGATTTTATTGACTACTGGATTTGAGTACATATGAACTAACTGAGCACAGCGCCGGGCAGCCTACCGAGCCATTGAGCTTCAAGTTGCTGATGTTCAAGTCGCTGCCACAGACGGACAGAACTTCAAAGTTCGCCGACTTGGTCTGTATCGTATCGTACTGTACACGGTAAGTCCCGCTGCCTCGCACGACAGCACTAGGACATGGTAGAGTTACCGTGCCGTGCGCCATAGTCGCGGTCCCTTTCCTTCACTTTGCCACAGCAAGAAGATTGAGCCTGTCGCTGGACGGCGGCCGGGCCGGGCGGCCGAAACTCGTTGATTCGCGTTCGACCGTCGGCGACGCACTGCGGCACGATGACAGTGGTACGCCGCCGTAATGACAAGTTTAAGGCAAGCCCGATTCAATCTCGACGGTGACCCTCATTCGATCGTGCTCAGTCAAAGTCATAGCACCGTCTGCAGGGGATGCCGTGATTGAGACCCATGAACCACGCGGATGTCTGAACTTGGTCAAGCTCAGTCTGCCACGGATGGCGATGATGATGAAGAGGAGTAGTCAGCAGCTCTCAAACTAGGATGCTCGCCGATCCGATCCAGCTTCTCGCAGATCTCCTGAGATGAAGGGCGCTGAGCAAATCCAAGGCTCAACAACAGGAGTCATCACAGAAGTGGAAAGCAAACCTCTGCCGGTTGTTCGAAGCACATTGACGCTGCCAAAGTCTTCAACTCATTGAAGACTTCCTCTGGCTCGTCTTGCATGTCATCCTTGAAGGTTGCTGCAAGTGTCCTGCGAGCATTTACTGTCAGGCGCTTCCCGTCAACCTTTCAATCGAACTCACAGCAACTCCTCTAAGATTTTCCCTGTACTGAAAATGTCTGACGCCATAGTGTTGAAGTCACCCAGAACTACCTCTGGGGAAATGTTTAACATTAGGGGGAATATCAGGATTACCAGTAACACAAACCTGGGGCCACAAAACGCATCCCTTCCGCTACAATGGATCTGCTTTCTTCATGCTGATGTTCTACATACGAATGACCAAAGTCGCCAATGGCATAAATGAAATTTAAGGCCTTGCATCCTATCTCCTGAAATTGCTCCGTCAAGAATTCAAACACCATGATAAAAAAATACTTCTTCACGATCATAATCTCGTTCAGATCGCAAGAAAATGTTTTGTGGGGAGATGTCGCAATGCACAATCTTCAAGCCGTGCAGATGTCTCAAACCATCCATAGTGTGGCAAATGAAAGTTGTTATCTGCTTGATGGGCATAAAAGTCCTCCGTGCCATCGTCATCTGGATAAAGTCACAAGAAGGGAAACTACAGCAAAAAGAAGAACATTGATGTACCTTTTTATGAAGATCACCTTCGCTCCAGTACCTGATCGAATGAACGCCAGTCACAAACAAATAAAATTCAATGAGGTGAGTCCACGCAAAGAAACTCACTCCATCAGAATTCCTTCCGTCTCACTGATATCAATCACCCTGACTACATGTGGATGCGGATTCGCTTTGATGCATTCATGAACTTCCACATCTATTTTTCTTCTGTTTGATTTGTCTGTCCATCTCTTGATGATCCAGTTGCTGCACAAAATGATCACGGCTAATCAGAAACATCACATGCAAGACATACAAAGAGGATTTAGTATCGTCTGTTGTCAGCTTCAGCGGGATTTTCCCACAGAACAAGTATGTGCGTGCGAAAGGAGGTTTGATTTTTCCAACTGCGTTGACCTGACTCAAAGTAAGCAGGAGCAGGAGCAGCAGCAGAAACCAGGCAATCGATTCATACCATCTTCAGCCCCCAGTCACGCTTGTGTGGTGCTGGGTTGTTGCTTGGCAGGTTACTCTTTGACAATCTGTTGGGTTCGTTCGACGATTTTGGGAGTGTACCAGGATGGAGCGCAACATCTCGACCATTCGAAGCTGCGGGGAAGACGTCATAGGTTAGAGGAATCTGATGTGCTGGTGCAGAGACGGCAGCTGAGCTCAGGTGCTGGGTCGGCAGATCCGTGCTTGCTAAGCATGTCGGCATCGGCTTGTCGGCATTTGCACCAACAAGACTGTTTGAAACATTCTTTCTGAACATGAGTGAGTTGAAGGCTGTGGATGGGATTTGTGGAAAAATAGTTCTTAGATCTTGACTTGCGCTTGCTGACCGTTGCTGGGGGTCAACTGGAACAGAAGTGTTTGACGAATTAAAACATGACGAATTCTGTGAAACTGCAGTATTAAGATAGATCGGCCTAGCAACAAATGCCTCAGTAATAGTAGGCTGATTGCTCCCGGGCATGTCGCTGGAAATCTTCGAAGGCACTTGCTGAAAGCTAGGAGCTGGAAACACCTGGGCCTGGGGGAACGGGAGCTGTGAAGGACGAGCAAAGAAGTGGTGGATCATGGGTTGACATGCAACATGAGTGGCAACTGCTTGTACTGCAATAGGGTGCTGGACGACCTGAACCTGGGGGCGCTGGACCTTGCAGGAGGACTTGAGAGGAGGAGTCGGTTTGCTCTTGGGTTTAACATTCCTTGGAGCAGACTTTACAAGCTCGGACGACCTCAGCCGTTGCGTCGGGATACGGTTTCTCTTTGGACGACCTTCTGTGATGACAGGAGAGGAAGAGCGGGAGCGCTTTGTCGCTGGCTCCTCTTCAGACTCGTCGGAATTTTCACTATGGTGCGCCGGCTCCTTTTGTTTGCACTGACTCTCACTCTGCTCTGCCTCTTTCGCAATAGACGTTCTGGATATAGCATCTTGCTTTCGATCATCATCATCGCTCATGTGTACAACCTCTGTTGCTTCCTCCTCGTTGCACAGCGCCCGATTACTAGGGGCCCCTGAGACACAGTCCATCGGGGGGCACGGAGCTGGCTGCAGGCAAGATCTATCATGAGCGTCGTGGTTGGAGGAGCCATCCTGCGCCTCTGACAGCTGAGGAGGAGTGTCAGTGTAGTTGCTCAGGGAGGAAAGCGGCGACTGCGAGGGAGGAGGTGTTGGGTGCCGCTCGCCGGCCTGCATGGCGCCAAAGCTGCAGGGGGTGAGCAATCAAACATGTAGGGGGTGGGTGGAGTCATGTTGTGAACCGGGGGTAGTGGGACGTAGTAGGGGTTCCTCAGTGAAATGAGGGGGTGAGGGTGGAGTTATAAGGGGTACAATGTGGATGGATATAGGGGTGCGGTCAAATCATCAATACCTGTGGGTGGGGTCAACAAATCATAAAGCATTGGTACAGGTGGGTAGTATAGTGGTAGTTTTCTCAGGGGGTGGTAGTCAGCTTTTGTTTACACGGCAAGAGGGGGTGGGTCATGGAACGTGGTAGTGACGGTGACCTGGGGCATTGATGTGTAATGGGGGGGTGGGGGTGGTAGGAAGGGCAGAAGCGGGAAGTTTGCGAAATGCCGGCTGACTTGTAGGGAAGAGCGAGAGAGGAGAAATGAGAGGAAAGAAACGAGAATGGAGGAAGGATAATGGAAGGCGAAACGGCGAAGGATATCCGAATAGCTCTAGGTAGTCTAAGACAGTAGTATGCCATTTCGAGATGTTACAGATCGGTCAAGATCAAGATGTAGAGTTCACAGTTTCGTAGCTTGCGTGCTAGTAAAGAATGAACAGATGGTAGGACAGTTTACAGCAGAGAAACAGGACCGCGATGGAAAAGTGAATGATTGACTATAATATAACCTCGTTAAGGATTTCGGATCATCATGATTCTGTTTGCATGCAAACTAAACCGCGCTACGATGTTCATTCAAAGGAACCCTCTCAGGTCTTGGAGGTGTTGTTGTTGTGTACGGACGTTGTTGTGTACGGTCACTTATTGTAGTTCATCTGCACTTTCATTTAAGCACTGAATCCAGTTTCACTAAGCTCCCTGCGTATTCCACATTCCCTGTTCGAAGTCTCTCCCTCCTCAGACTTGGAAAACATCAAAGGAGCCATCCCCAACCAACAACCGAAGCCGACACCGAGTGCTTCCCCTGTTGCTTCCGTCAAATTCCACTCAGTATAGGCGGCAGCGCATTCTCACCAAGAAGTTTGCTTTGAACCGCAATAGGCAGTGATTTCTGTGCATGAGTTAAGACCTGGCATTTCAATGTGTCAGAATGTCGTAGCTTGTAGGTTGAAAACGCCACCGGCTCTGTTGCTCCAATTCTTTGGGCGATCTGATTCACAGTTCCTCCCAAGAATACTCCTGCAAGCCTTTGAGTTATACAGCATTTTGGCAAGCTTATGAGATTGTAGAGAAATAAACAGAGTTGAAGTGAGAAGTTGTGTCAAACCATGCATGTAAACAGTGCAAGATCAAGCGTGTTCGCATGTTTGTCCTTACCTGCCATGTCCGAAAGGAGATTTCCCCATGCCGCAGCGCCCATGGCACTGAGGCCCAGCCTCTTCCCAAGGAACTCCTCGATGATTTCACCTGCGATGTTCTTACTGGTGCCCCTCGCACACGTGGAACCTCACCGCAGATGATCATGAGCCCGTTGTCTGTCATCCCGAAGCCAATGAATGGAATCATTCCTGACGCAAAGAGCTGAGCAACAACGTCAGGCTAGAAGGGTTGGTGACGCGTCTCCCTGCCTGAAACAATTCCTTCCTAGTTGGAGCGATCACATTTCCTGCAACCATTGCATTGTCCTGCACGGAGAATGAGCCAGCCAACAACATTTCGCAACTCTGCAACCTTCATTCTGAGGATCGCGAACATGACAGCGTATTCGGGGATTCCATTGATGAGAGGGTCTTGCACATCCATCAGGATACTGTCTGTGTCATCTTGACTGAGAGGTATCCTGGTGCCCCTTGTGACCACACAGAAGTTCTTGTCGTCTTGAGACCTAGAACCAATTGATTCTTGCTTCCCCTTGAACATGCACATAGAGAAATCGAGTCTCACAAGAGGACAAGAGCATCGGCGCTCCACAGCGTTATGATGGCTTTGGCGGCTCGGCTCCCTGCTGACGAGCAGGACCAAACTTTCTTGTCGTCGCTCTTGTTGTCTTTTCCGTAGTCTTCTTTCAGCTTCTTCATCACAGAGACGGCGATCTTGGTGCCTCCAGCATTGATCGACCTGCGGCAAAGGATGAGCATGCGATTGCTCGGAATGCAAGCAAGTGTGTAGAACTTCACCGAGCGACCATGTCGATTCGGTCCGCAGCTTGCTCTCCTAGAACCTCGTCGGGGTCGCAGACCCATGAGGGGCTCGATCGTCCACACTCTAGAGGAACGAGATTCAGCGAATGGTTTTACAATGCTGCTTGCAACTTGCATCTTTACCTGCTGGATGCTTCCGAGGATCTAAAGGCAGGCTTGCTGTGCAGTGAAGAAGCAGGAGGATTGAGAGAAAACGAGAAGCGAGCAGCATGGCTTTCTCCAAGAATCTCTGCGAATGTGTCATAGACGGCTCAGTTTTCTCACTCCACCGCATGATCCGAGAAAGGATCCGTGAAACTTGACAAGGGGAATATCAGCCTCGGGGCATCATTGCAAGTGACTTCAGGATCTCAAGGATGCAGAAAGATGTGCAAGGGGAAGAACTTCCTAGGAACGCCATATTCTCTCTTCCTACTCTTCCCTCCCTCCCCCTCCTCCTCCCCCTCCCCCTCCCTCCCCCTCCCTCTTCTTCCTCATGCTGTGCCCTCCCTTGCATCCTCGTCGTGACATCCCCTCCGCCCCAACTGAACCCTACCCCCTCCCTCTACACCCCACCCTACTGTCATCACTGCATACCGGTACTTCTGCCTTCCTTTAGACCATCTTGAATACTACACACTAGCTAGACTACCCCTCATATACCTCAATGCACCCCGACATAGTACAACCCCACCCCCCCGATCCTCGGCCTTGACCAGCAGTAGTTTCTAGAACCTTGAAAGTTTCAAGGAACAAACTTGACCGTGATGAAACTTCAATAGTTACAGACTTTGAAACTTCGAGTCATGAGAGTCAGTGAGTCACCGTGCCAGGGCCGGCCCAGTGGCGGGCCTCTGCCGGGCTGGCGGATCGCTCGGCGAACAAGGAAACGGCAGCGCTGGATGGTCTCTCGGCCTCGCAAGACGTCTCACTGCGAGTCAGCCTGATCCGACTCTTGCAAACGCATCCGGTTCAGGATCCGATCTTTCGTCAGCTCGGCGGCTCAACTTGCCTCCCTGTCCTTCGCGCGGCGGGCCCGGGGTGCATTCCGGTATGCCGCAGTGCGTCTCATTCCTGACTCAGGGATGTGCCCGCGGACTGAGTACGATGGTCGGCGGGCACAGTCGGACATCGCCGCGCTGGCATGGCGCGGGGGACTCAAACTTCCGGGAACTTGGGCCAGTGGCCCTGCGCGCCGCGCCGCGCCGCGGCGCAGTTAAGTCGGAAGGCTTGGTATCAGTTACTAAGTTACAAGCCCGTTACAAGTTAAGCCACGTGACCCGGGGCGCGGCGGCCCGGTCCGGGTCACGGTGCTCTCAGCCGTGCGACGAGCAGCGCACCACCTAAAAAATCAACGTGGTCAAAACATCCGGGGCATGGCTCCATCATGTGCAGACAAGGTTGACCGCCCGAGTCGCAGCGCGAGTAGGCAGGGCAGAGCTTGAGACCTCGAGGAGAGGACGGAGATTTACGAGCTGCCATGAACCTACACAATTGCCTGCGGACTTCAACGGTGCCATTCGGGGTTTTTCTCTTCCTCTTCACGCAAAATGCTTTTCTTTTGACTCGAAGGCTAATACAACGCACTCCCCCCCCACAAGATATGCTCTCTTGCTGCAGTTCGGTATGCAGATCAAACACCGTACAACGCTGCCAAGGTATGAAGGGAAGATGTCAACTCGTTTCTATTGCGTTTCATTCCTGTTTTGACCAAAGGTGTCCCACAATGCTGGGCATGGACAACCGGACAATGCTGCAGGTAACGAATGCATTCCTGGTGTTGTTTGAGGATGTGAACTGCATAAACTCGATCTAATGATGCTTTGAAATGAATTTTTATTCACTTTAACATGTTTCTGATGTCAATTTCAGACGTGGCTGCTCCTGTCGATGGAAAACGGGAAAGAAGATCTGCAAAGTCAATAAGAACAATGGAGAGGTTGGTTTCCTTTGCAGCATAGATCGCGGAGATCTACATTGAACTGAATGACCTGTTCCTTTTCAGTTGAGTGAATGTAAAGAGAACAACATTTCCATGGAATACGACGGATGTATCGAATACACTGATGGGGTAAGCTGCATTTCATTTCAAAGCCAAGAGGCTATGTGCTTCCTTTTGATTTCTTGCAGGCAAGGAAAGGAATCTTCGATTTTCCTCAGCTAATCTACATTGTCCCTGGGGTTTCTGTGTTGACAGGAGCAGTTTATCTCCTCTGCATGCGCATGGAATGCACAACAAGCTCCTCAGAAAATCTCCCCGAAATTCGTCTGCAACCTATACGGGCTCCCGTGCAGCGAAAAGAGAGTGAGTGCAGTCCATCTGCATTATTCCCGACCCAACACTGAACATTGTGAATTCATCAGTCTGGGACGAGAGTGTTCCTCCGATCGCGTTCGACCTCTACGTCTCGGGGTATGTGCATCGTGTTCTTCTGCAACAAAGGCTGATCTGGAGTCTGCAGTGTTGTCCTCTCTATGGAGACTCCAAAGTGCACCACGGAGCGACCTGAGCAGTACCAGGACAAGAAATTATCTTAACTTGTATGCTAGATTTGTGGGAACAGGCGCGACTGTCGGAGGTAGGGTAGGGCGAGTACCCGTTGCTAGCAGTCAGGGTGCTTGTACTCATATGTACCCGCACCTCAGAAAACGCGCTGTGAGTACCCCTGACGCTTATGCAGCAACAAGTACTCACCAGGATCACACGCATCGAGCCTTGCTCGGTCAGCGATACCTTGTAATGTGGCTCAATTGGTATGTTATAGTGTCTTCATTATGACTTCTATCATGCACTCCGCGCTTCTCTACTGACGGCCGCGGCTGCTTCCCACCCCATCCTCCTCCTCTGCCCTCATCCCCAGGGCATTGTCATGCTATCCTTCTAGTCCCATGGACGGTGTACCGGAGTTGGCTGTGGGTCCTGGGCTCATGGGAGGAGCACCTGGCTCTCTTGAATCCGCCCCACCGGTCGAAGCTGCTGCAACGAGAGACAGACAGACAGACAGACAGGCAGGCAGGCAGGCAGGCAGGCAGGCAGGCAGGCAGGCAGGCAGGCAGGCAGGCAGGCAGGCAGGCAGGCAGGCAGGCAGGCAGGCAGGCAGGCAGGCAGGCAGGCAGGCAGGCAGGCAGGCAGGCAGGCAGGCAGGCAGGCAGGCAGGCAGGCAGGCAGACAGACAGACAGAGACAGAGTCCGGCAGCTCCTCCGACTCCTCCAGCTCCTCATACAGTAGTCGTGCATGAATGACGGCTTGTCGATGTAGAGCTGCTGCAAGTGCTCGTCGTCGTCCTTGCACTTGATCTCATTCCGCCATCGCTGCCACCCACTAGTACATGAACTAGTACGTGAACTAGTACGTGAGGGAGGCAAAGTGCTGTCTTGGAGACGGTCAGAGGTGGTCTTGGGGACTCCCGGGAGGCTCCCGGCTCGGAGGGGCAGGAGGAGCAGGGAGGAAGGTATGACCAGAGGAAAGAGCAAAACTAGCGCAGGACTCGCTGGGAATGGAGGGGGGCGGGGGGGGGGGCGGAAGCAAAAGTGAAAGCCGCGGCGGCGTCGAGGAAGGATACACCACCGTGACGCTGCTGCTGCTGGACTCCGGGAGGTAGGCTGCAATTCGCGGACAGCCTAGAAGCTCTCGCTGCAGACAGCGTTGCCTGAGTCCGTGCTGCAAAGAGGTGCAGGTGCACTGGCGGAACCTTGAGAGACCCAGGCCGGGTCTCATGTCACAGTGTTGTACACACAACCTTCGGTATGATCAGTACCGTACCGGCGTCACTCACTGTTTGCCAACGGTTGCCCGGCGGCCCGCCGGGACTCCCGGATCGGACCGTGACGCTCACTGAACTTATCCGAGCCCGGCACAACGGTGACGGCACAGTGATCCCTCAGGGGAAGATTAACTGAAATGAATTGGTATCAAATTTGAATGTGAGTAATCTTATTGGTATCTCATCCGGGGGGTCGTGAACTCCGAGACGGCGTTGCCGAGGGAGCCGTACGCTACTGGTCAACGTGACAACAATGCACACGACAGAAGCAGCCGCCGCGGCTACCGCACTGCATGCACACGTCGATGGCACTGCAGAGGAGCCCGGTGGTCCGACGACTAGATCCTCCTTCAGAGTTCCTTCCTCCCCCCCGCCCTCCTCTTCTCTCCTTTTCAAGTTTCCCTGCAAAGTTTTCCCTTCCTATCCTCTTCTTTCGCGTGACTCTGACCCCCTGACCATTAGAAAGTTGACTAGTATCCATACCTTTTTTGAGGTATCTCCGAATAGTTATTGTGTAATTACGGATTTTTCTGTCGGTAGCTTCAAAGACGTGTCAAGATAGTCCACATGAGATCCTTGGAGTTTTCTTTGATGCAGTGAGATTCGTGTGCTGCGGAAGAAATATTTGGATCAATGTCACACACACATCTATCAGCATCACCTTCAGCGATCTGACACAAACCCAGTCATGCAGTCCTCTGTGAATTTTCTGTGCATGTAACGGAAATTGTCAACAAGTGCTGGGCGTATAGAAGTGTTCCACACATTTGCAGGCGATCCAATCACCCGTCTGCAACGAGAGCTTCATGCTCGACTATAATGCGTTCTCATCCTTTGACTGAAGAGCCCTCAGGTCAATCGAGGAGTACAAGAGGGTATGAACGGCTCAGCTAATGCATGTCCGAGTCCCGTAGGAGGGGTCGGGATGATCGTCCAATGCTCTCTGTCGAGCGATGGAACGAGGAAGTTGGTGCTCGTGAAGGAGCTCCAGCCCGGGTGTCCTGCCATGCAGAGCAAGTTGATACAGGTGTTCCCTTGTGATCCCTCCTCCTCCTCCTCCTCCTCCTCCTCCTCCTCCTCCTCCTCCTCCCACTGACAAGCCGTCTTGAAGGTGGGGGACAGAATTGTAGCCGCCAACAATGTCAACGTGCAGAGCACAGGGCACACGATAAGCCTGCTGAGGGGGCCAGCGAGGTCGCAAGTTCGAGTGGATTTCGAGAGGCAGGGGAAGACGTTTGCCCTCTGGCTCCAACGGTCTTCGCTGGCTGCGGATGGCGAGGCAGAGAAAAATGAACCTCCGGGGATGGAGCAAGTGGGACAGGACGAGCTGCTGGTTCAGAATGATTGCCTGAGGGACTTGCTGAGTAGCGCTGAGGAGAGATTGCAAACTGAGCAGCGGAAAAATGCGGATAACACGCAGGCCATCAATCAACTTAAGCAGAGGATAGAAGAGCTTGAGAAAGACAGGGCTTCGTCTGTGAAGCAGAATACGATTGCATCCCAGGAAGTTCCGTTTCCGGTAAGATTTTGTTGGTCCGACATGATGATGGCTATGTAGAGGATGATCAAAACTTGTGAAGATACGATGATATGAAGGCTGGAACATTAAGTTGTTATCAGGAATGGATTCATCAAAGGCAATCCGTCAACGGCTCGATTCCTACCACTCCACCCGTGCCACAGCCCAACCCTTCGATCTCGGCCAAGATTGTGTTCCTGAATGAGTACGATCAGACTCGGAGGCCGCAGGTGCTGGCTGAGCAGAGCAAGAGAGATTCGTCAAATGTCGTCAACGAGGATGAATTCAACAGCATGCTCGCCGTCTCTCATGAGAACCGCGCCAAGGGATGCGAGAGATTGCTGCAGAACGTCTTCCGATGCCACCTCATCTCCAACATGCTGCAAGAGGTCAATGAGAGTCGAGATGCTCTCGAACGAGCGACATGTGGCAACGCCCAGTCCTTCAGCAAGAGAACGACAGTCGGGCTTGTGCTTGATGGGCTGGAGATAGTGCATGTTATGGTGGGGAGCGCAGCGTTCAACAGCAACACGATAGAGCAAGGTGACGTCATCATGTCCGTCAACGACCAGGTAGCGACGACCTGGAACGTCAACGGCATGTTGGACGGCAGCGACCGCGCGGGAGAGACGGTGAAGTTGAGGCTGAGGAGGGCAAGAACCAACGAAGTCTTGGAGGTCGTGGTCCAACGGCAGCTGTGTGCTGACCTCCCCGAGGAGGCGCTGCTGTCCCACTACCTCAACCTGGCAAGGGAGGATGCAGTCTCGAGGGAGGACGCCAACGGTCGTGACCTCGCCCTCACGGCCATGGGGCTCTGGAGCAAGATCGCGCGCGCGCAGCAGGAGAGGGAGGAAGGATGCCGCGCGAGGGAGGAGGAGAGGACGTCGAAGGTCCAAGAATGCAGCTCCACGCTCACCCCCATCCTCGAGAAGGTCCACCTCGACATCCTCTACCTCCAGGAGGAGCTCGTCAGGTCCTACCGGTACATCGACGAGATGAAGATCTCTGCCAGCAGGCAGAGCATGGTCGCCTCCTCTCCCGACCGACAGGCAACTTGCTCCGCACTCCCATCTATGCACGCCTGCCTCCTCCATACCCTTCCCTTCCCTCCGCTGCCCCCCCCCTTCCTACTTCTCCCTCCCCGCCTTCAACTTGTTGTTGATTCTTATCTTATCATCTCTTCTCCCTGTCCTGTCCTTCCTCTTCTCTCATCTAACTCGTCTCACAGTTTCCGCCTCAACCTCCCTGGCAGGCAGCAGGAGAACCAGTGGAAAGCAGCCTGTTGGCCTCCCTCGCACGGGCCCCGGTCGTCTCCTCCCCGGACAAGTCAGACGACTCGTTCATCACTGGTGGCTAAGCGTGAGATTTCAGGAGGGACCAGGGTGATGCGAGAGGTCTGGACGACGGCGCTCACGTGAAGAGCATGCAGGTACAAGTTTCTTCTTGCTAGCCCCCACTCCTCCTGCCTAGCCCTGTCTCCCAGCCTCGCTCGCGTGTTCCCGTTCTCCCCTCTGTCTCCTTCCTTCTTCTACCACCTGCCTGCTGATCTCTAGCAGGTGACTATGTGTTGATGACACGACAATCTCCCTACCTCCAATCAAGTCTCCAACACGGCAGCCCAGCTCACAGCCTGCTGGGCAGCCTCGATCGCAATCGACTTGACACAGTTGGGTCAAACTTCAGTCGTGTTTGACAACGAATACTGCAAGTTTATGAAAGTACATCATGTGAATATAAAGATCGGAAACCATTCATCGCACCACGCGCCGCAACCCCATGACATCCTCGACTCCTCCCCCTTTAGGCGCCAACAGTCAAAGGAGGATAGTCAATCTTGACCTGGACCTTGTCCGCTCCCTGAAAACACTCTCAGCCTCCTCTTCCTCTTCCTCTTCCTCCTCAGGTCACACCACCATTCGCTCCCCCACATCCACCTCACATCGCTCATCCTTCTCACCTTAGCGGAGATGTCAACGTTGACGAGCTCATCCTTGTCAGCGCCTGACTTGTCCGAGCGATCGCCCTTCCCTCCCTTCTTGTTGCCAGCGTTGCCGGCCTTAGCCTTGGCAGCCTTCTTGTCCTCCTCGGTCATGCCTGCTCACCGGAGTCAGCGGGGGACACAAGAAGGAGAGAGGGACGTCTTACCCTCGAAGGCTTTCTTCTTCTCCTTCACCTTCTCGATGCAGGCGGCGACATCAGCAACTTTCGTTGGGATGGAAACGCCGATGGAGCCCAGGGTCGAGATGGTGTCGAGCGTCAGGGTGATGCGAGCAGACTCTGCGTTCCCCTTCCCCTTGTTCTTCTTCTTCTTCTCCGCCACAAGGCCGCTGAACATGTCGTCGTCGAGGTTGGCTTTCTTTCCCCCCTCGTATACCCCCTTGTTGTTCAATGTCATCTCCCCTGCACTCGCCTTGGCTGCCTCAGGAGCCCCCCCATCCTCCTTGGTGTCCTTGGGCAAGAACGAGGAGAGAACCTGCCTGCACGTCAACGACCTCAATCAGTCAGCTGCCGTCCCCTCCTCCAACCTTCTCGAGGTCCTGACACTGCAAGATCTCATCAGCCCACGGGTGTCCAATGAGAGGGTTGTCCGAAGGGAGGTCCCTGCAGCCAAGTCAGGGTCGGAGGACGAGCATCAGGCGGAGCTTACGCATCGATCGGGCCCTCAGCCTCCTCTCTCCTCTTGGCAAGCTCCGCTCTGCGCTGCTCGTTCTGAAAAAGAATTGCACGGTCAGGACAGAGGACGGGAGGGGAACGAGCACGATACCATGATACGATCCTTGGCTCTCTTGTAGCCGTTCATTGCCCTCTGGAAGTCTTTCCACTTGCTCACTTCCTCTTTGAACTCATTGTTCACCTACACAATCGTCACACCCGAGTTGGACTTCCTTGTCGCCATTGGAGGGAGGTCATCAAGGGAACCGAGGAGCGGGGCAATGGGCAGCAAGGTAGAGCTGGGTAGGAAGGGAGGAAGATATAGGCAGGGCGGGAGGTCGGGAGGGATGGGATGCGAACCTTGCGGATCTCAGCACGGTGCTCCTTGATCTGCGAGTAGAGCTCCTTCTGCTCCTTCCAGAGTTCACCAACATTGGGACCCTTGTCCTGCTGCTTGCCCCTGACCGCATCCAGAGCCTTCTCAAGAGTCTCTGCCTCCTTCCTGGCCTGGTCAAGCCTGGCAGTCGCCTCGGCCTTCCTCTGCTCGAGGGCTGCCTTAGCATCTGCATCATCGACTACCTGGCTGCGCTGGGACTGGTAGTGGAGGATCATGGACTTGGTTGAGTTAAGGCTCTTGATCTCCTGCATCACCCGCTTCTCGTGCGCGAGGTTTGTGCACTGCCCGGTCTCGATCTGAGCTTCCAGCTCCTTCACCTTGGCCTCCACCTGTGCCACGTCCTCGAACTTGAGGCTCTTGCGGAGGTCCTGGAGGTTCTTCTGCTGGGCCTGCCTGTTGGAGGTAAGCTCGCGGAGCTGCTGGAAGGCTGCCTCCTTGTCGGCGCTGGCGGCCTTGATCTTGGCACGGGCGGCCTTGAGCTGCTCGACAATCGCCTTGGACTCGCTCTTGCTTCCATCGCGCAGGCTGTTGGCCTTCTCAAGAGCAGCCTTGATCTCCGTCTGATAGCAGCACAAGGTCAGGGCAGCCCGCCGGCATGGAGCATGGGCTCACCAGGCGCTTTTCGCACTTCTCGATCTGAGCATTGAGCCTCGAGAGCTTCTCATTCACCTTGTCCTGGTCAGGCTGCGGCACAGGATCGGGCTTGTTGAGCTCAGCCAGCCTCTCCTCGAAGGACTTGGATGGCTTCTTCTCGGTCTCAGCAGAGTCGCCTGCTGCCTCAGCCTCTGCTGCGACAGGCTGTTCAGTCTCCTGAGATTCCACCTTAGCCTCTTCAGCCATCGTGCCTGCCAAGAAAATCGTGTCAACCCCCACAGCCTCCATTTCGCTCTTTCGTGAACTCTTCATTCATGTGCCAGCTACAACCTGATCTGTGTTCAAGACAAAACATGAAAACTAAAAACACATTCAACGTGTGCGACAGTGTGGTATTATAGTGGTGATGCTCCTATGCTCCTATCCCAAGGAGGGGTAGGTGGAAATTCAATTCATGTGTCGACTCGCTGACTCTTGCGACACGTTCGAAACCTTCATGATGCTCCGCTCCTTCTCTCTCCATCGTGCCATTCCTGATCCTCTTCGTTTCTATCTTGGCAATCACATTCTATGTATTTCTCGCTCTCTGTCGCATGCCGCACCATCCCTTCCCCTCTCTCTCTCCCGCCATCGGCGGCGGCTGGGGCACGCGCTTGGGGTCGCCACCTATCTAAATTTCTAGTTGGCGGATTATTTATCAAAAGAATTGTCCAAGGTCAATAGATACCCCTTGAATCTTAATGGTGTATTATATTATTTATCAATGTACGGATGCAGACCAAGTGCAATGCACGCCAACTTGTACTGGTCGATCTTGCTAGGGTTTTTTTCCACGCGCGTGGAGGAGCAGACTATTTCATACCCGAATTTCAATTTTTCTAACAAAAGTTCGTCTTGTTTCAAAGTCTCTTTCTCTCAGCGCATATGCAACATGTACAGGTAAATATCCTTATATACAATTACATAAACTCACATCTTTGGGTGTTCTTCTTGATGTATCTAGAACAATTTTAGTCCTGTTTTCTCAAATTTCGGGTAAGTTATCAAATTCAACGGAGGTTTAAGAGAACCCTGAGGCGGAGCGGCACATTTTGAGATACCCCTTGTAACGAGGGGTAGTGGTGTGTGAAAACAGGGGTGTTCATGTATCACAGTTCGTGTTGAAGGGGTGGTTGCTTGAAGGGGTACTTTCTCGTTGAATTCCCGCCAATTTACCACATAGGGGTGGGGTACTTTGATCACCCCCCTACCCTGTCGGCTCAAATACTTCTGGAACTTCGGCGGCGGTCCCGGGCCGGGCGGCCGGGCCGGGCCCGGGCCACTCAGCCGGGCAGTGGAGTTAAAACCAGTTTTTGTTGTCGTTGCTACCGAAAAGGCGCGCTAGGGGAGTAGGCGATGGCAGGAGGAGGAGGGGGGGGGGATACCTGCAGTGAGAGGTAGGAGCGCAGCTAGATGGCAGCAGGAAAGAAGATGATGCTGGTGGATTCAAGCGCCCAACAGCAAGGACACCATCGAGGTCGACGATTGGTGCCGGCACGTGGTTCAAAGGATTTGTGCTCTGTTGTTGCCTCAGCTTTCATTTTCTTGCTTTTCTTCATCTCCTCCGACGGGTGATGATGTTCGAATTCGCATCTTCCCACTCACTCTTCTTGTTTTGGCATCAGAGAGCCATTCAACGTGGATCAAGAAGAGATCCCTGATGCGGTTTCCTTGCTCTTTCCTTCTTGCTTCATTCATGTGAGATGAACGGCGTCTCCGCACGCAGGTCCTGGAATCATTGTCAGCTCAACATCCGGCCATGAGGGAGTTGCTGCAGGCGTCAACCGTCATGCCCGGTATTCATCGCCTTCCTCCCCTGCTGGTGACCGCCATGTCTCTGAGCCACCTTACTCATCAGAAACTTCCTCCCTGGGGACGTCCAACTACACTTGCGTTGCTCGACATGAGTACATTGTAATGCAAGCGCACACATGATTGAGATTGCTGGGTGAGCTTGTTTCAGGCAATGGCAACGGACCCATATCTTAGCGCAGCCTCCAACCAGTACACTGATGGAACATTTTTTTGTGATGGGTACGTGGACTATGCAGGTACAAGATGTCAAGATGTTGTGATGGTTGTTGAAGGGTTGATGAATTGTTTGCAGCTGCATGCGACCTTGCCAGACCAAACAAATCATGCAACAACAAATACGCAAAGAAGATTTACTCGAACCTCGTCAGGGCTTTAGATGTCTACAGGTAATGAAACCAACATCGTGTGTGCTCGATCTTGTAACGGCATCTGCTTTTCCAAAGCTGCAAATCGTACAGCAACATCTGGACCTGCAGTGATTGTAAAGCAGCGTTCAAACGATGGCTATGCTCTCAGGTTTCAGCAATCTCCACATGCGTACATCAACATTCTCATCGTAAGATGCAGATCTACAAGAAGTTCGTTATTCCAGATACGACCCTCTTCGAAGAAGGAAATGTAATTGAGGGCGTGTTACACCCCGCTCAGAGAGAGAGAACTTGATGTAGTGACTATCCTCAGGTTTCCTTGCCATCGTATGCTTGCACATGCCCGTGGCCTCCCCTCAATCAGACAGCAGAACAGACAGTGAGTCACCTGACTATCTCACGGTTCTGTTCTCTGACGTCGCAGCGCAGGCCAAGGACTTTGCAAGCAAACCATACTGTCTGTTGATTTGCGCTGGGTTGCCGCGTAATTGCACCGCCCCTCCAGGACAAGTGCGCTCAGCATGTGTTGACTTCTCGTTTGACGATTTGACCTCAGGCCGTTCCCTCATGTCCCACCCCAGCTTGCGGTGCCAAAGGTACCGCTGATGACCCGGGAAGATGCACAGCATCGGTGTACCTAGATTCGGTTCTTCCTGCTTGCCACTTGATTACCTCCTGACATGTCAGAGCAGCAATCGGCCTCCAGCTTTGATGACTTCTATGTCGGCTCAAAAGTCGAAATCACGAGCACCAATATGAAAGGGTACTGGATGCTGATAGACAAATACGACGGTTTCTCCAAGTTAGCCATGGGGACTCAATGGAATGCTCCGTATGGGACGACGATGCCCAATCCACCTCCAGTTCCAGCACAGGTAAGCGAAATCCAACGGCGTGCCCTTACATCACCAGTTTTCCTCCTTCTTCCTTTACTTGCTCTCCACGAGCAAGTAAAGAGATCAAATGATCTTCAAATTCCAGGGCAACACATATCGAATATATCTAACGAAGAAACAACAAGGTTTCTGTAGATCGACTGTGGATCCATCGGTGATCTCCCATCAATCCAAGTTGAAGTGTGTTGTAAGGTTTTCAACAGAAGCGGTTGGGGCCTCCATGTGAACAAATGCAACAATTCCTTCCTGACCAGACTATTTCCACGGGATGGCCTGCGATCCCTTACCTGATGGTCAACGTATGTTGATCTTGATGTCTTGATCTCTGTCTCTTCCGTTTGACGAGGATCCATCTCATGCTGGCAGGGTGTCAAGACCTGTCTCGATGGCTCACCCTTCACTGCCACGGGATGTGGGAGTCCAGGTGGCGTCCTGGTATACGTCCCACTTTGTCTTGGTGCGTTTGGCAGAAGGCTGAAAGTCTACATAGGAGAACGCTGCCAGCACCTCAAGCTCGAGCTCGAGCTCGAGCTCGTCTGGGGCGAACTCTTCCACGACAACAAGTTTTGTCTTCTGGGATGGTTGGAATGGCCCTGCAGCAACTGCTCAAATCCCTCCCAAATATTACAGCTACCCAATGCCTGGTCTCAGCTACGGCGGAATCAGGTGTCATGAAGGCGAGGTGTGCGTCAAGGTAGACCCTGGCTCCAGCCCCACGGCCACTTCCTATGGATACGCTTGCTGCCCAAGGAATCGATCACAGTTTGCCTTGAGACTGTTTTTCGTGTAACAATTCGCTTCAGGTCCGGGTACTACTTGAAAAATCTGGGCAATGCGCAGAACTGGATGGCCTACCACTTGGCCGCTGGGACAGGCACACTGAACTACAGCTGTGTTGGTTTGGTAAACACGTCGAATCTTCCCCTTGCTGCTCTGAGATGTTTGTAGTCGGGGTCAACTCTTTCGGAGGCAATCGTAGCAACCAAGAAGAATGTGACTGTTCCTGCTACTCTCGCTGTTCCTGCCAGCAAAGAGTCAGGGTATACCATGCTTGATGCTCCTGTGACGGCGAAAAGTCACACCAAGGATTTTAGATGCACTACGGACTTTCTGCCGATCTCGGATAAGGCACAGGATGATTGTGCCCTCAAGACTTGTAATGCAGTGGTGCGAGACGTCTGAGATGCTTCTGGTCTTGTGACTTATCCTTTGGAAGTGCCTGGACGTCAGTAGACGATGTCCGTACGCTCTTGAGTTTCGCTGTCCGTCGCTGGGAGATTACCGTGAATATGATTTCACTGAGTGCAATATGATGGTCCCGCACGGCAAGGAAGTATACGAGGAAATCATGGCTGCTGATTGTTGCTGTTGTAACAGGTTGCATGATCCAAGTACAAGAGGTGTCGGGCAGCATCAAATGTTCCAGCCTGAACCCGCAGTAAGAACCTCTTGCAATCGAAGCCTATGCAAGCTTGCAGCACGATCCTGACCGAACCGCACAGGGGATACGGACCTGAAGACACTAACCCTTTGGGAGGGAAAGAGCAAAACCGGCTCCTGTTCAACGGCATTTTCGGCCTGCCGCCTTCGCCGAACTGCAGCGGTAGCACGTGATCTCTCACAACTGACCTGAGTGTTGATCAACGTGCTAGGTCTCAATGGGCTGTCGATCGATGCTGGGATCGGCCCGAGTACCGGACTGCCAGTCAATCCTCCGATCAACGGGCCGGTACGGAGAGTTGGTGTGTCAAAGAAGCGAGCTGAAAGCATTCTCAGGCGTCAAAGAAGAATTCTACTTTTCCCTACGACATCTGGTGGACAAGATGCTGGGCTGGAGCTACTCGCTGCTGACATGTGCTTGCAAGGTGCAAGGGTGCTAGTGATTCAACTCTTGCTCTCTCAGCGGCAGACGTTGGGTGCAGGTTGAAACTTTTCTTCTCTTCTCATTGCTTGACCAGTTTGAATTGAAGGGTGATCATGTACAAAGGACAGTTCGAGCAGAACTGCTATGTTCAAGGCGCGTAATACCCAATAGGTAAATTGGCACTAGCGTTACTAGCAATGAAAGCATCGAAAAGAAGATTAACCTTGGTTTCACTTAATCGTAAAGAATAACTTTCAGTCTCTGACTGGTAACGGGGTATGCTAATGTACAAGAGAGCTTTGTGGCTGTAAACCTAGTTCCATGCTCTAGGGTGTCCCGGCACTGAACCTTCATGCTGCCGCCTTGAGCTTCAAGATGCTCTGTTTGAGTTCCTCAAGCGTGTGAACCTTCGTGTCGTATACCGAGGGGCGAGGTGCCAACATGGCCACCGGCGGCGGTTGAGTCTGAACAACGAATCCCAGGCTCTTGGACTCGAGGAAGATTCTCATGAGATCTTGTGACTCCCTTTCGAGGTCGAACTTGTTCTTGGGGATGTGAACGTTCTCGTTGGTAGTCCTGTGACACGACTGTGATCGCAATGGTGTGAAGATTCTTCCAACCAGGAGACATTGCGCATAGGCTATGAACGTGGCGACCCATCTTCTAACCACCAGCTGAAGCTCCAGCGAGATTGCCGGAGGGGATGCGGACCTGGCACTGAAACATTTCTTTACCAGCCCACTCTGACGTGCTACGAGTCTGTGCGGCATTTGTTGGTATCTCCTCGCTGTGTTTCGTGAGAGACAGGAAGGGAGGAAGGCAGAGGGAGTAGATGTGAGGGAGCTTGGCTGGTCTGGGAGGAAGCAGCTGTTCCGAAGCGTGTAGGGGATGCGAAGCGAGGGCAGGTGAAGGTTTCGATCCGCTTGTAAGGGCGAGTGGGGTCGGATTCTAAGAGGGTAGGGTCCAAGAAATGTTGTAAAGGGTGGGTACTTTCATCTACATAACAGGGGTCATTTTTCTAAGGTTCTACAAATTCAGGGGTACAAAGACCAGGGGTGGGGTCGGTGAGTGGGAGGTCGGAGGTACAGGGTCATGTGGGCTGAGACTAGTGGGACCCCATCATAAGAGGGGGTACTTGGACTAATATATACGGGTAGTGTCTAGAAACCACGTTTGCCTCATGTACCCCATCAAGTGGCTCAATTGACGTCGTGGAAGGGGGTGGGTGGCTCCCGGAAAATAAAAAAAAAAAAAAAAAAAAGTCTGGTCCAAAATAAAGTCTGGTCGTCACAGCAGCCTGTAGGAGCAGACTCCCATGCCGCACGGTCACCGCGGCCGTCACGTATCCGGGTGCGGCTTCTGAGCGCGTGATCAGTCAGGGAGCCACTTCCGTGATCCCCGGGGGCTCCGGTGACTCGGGGGAGTGCTTTGCCGAGCTACTGAGGAGTAAACTTGAAACCTCACTGGGCTCTGACCAGACTTGTAAACTCCGCCTTTCTGCTGGATTACACTCGGGGCGCTCTGGACGGGGATCATTATTATGAGTCCTATCAGTGCCGTTGGCTGTAAATTGACTTAACAACTTGAGTAAAGCCTGAGTAAGTGAAGCCGCTGCACGACTGTCGGAGGGCCGGCCGGGCCCGGCGACCGGCCCGCCCGGCACTGAGCCTCCGAGTGACGGCCCGGCTCCGACTGAGAGTCACCGGGCCCCGGGCCCCGGGTACTAGCTGTTGGGGATGAGGGCACAAGTGATGAGTCGAGCTGGCAGGACATGCCAGTAGGGAGGGAGGGAGGGGAGGGGAGGGGAGGGGAGGGGAGGGGAGGGGAGGGGAGGGAGGGAGGGAGGGAGGGAGGGAGGGAGGGAGGGGGATGAGTTGATAGCTGACCTGATTAACGAATGGGGATGGGAGAGAGGAGAAGCAATGAGACGAGGAGGGGGTTGACTATGGAGTAGAGAGGCAACAAGATCCGTGTTGAGGGAAGCACTTGACGTTCGTAGTTGCACACAGGGCGGCAATGCTAGGGCTCGGTGAGCGGCTAAAGGAGGTTGCGGCCAAGGTGGAGGACAGGCTGCAGGAGAAGTCACGGAGCCTCCAAAGTCACCTGCAGGAGACGTTCGAGGTGGGGGGAGAGAAGACTGCGGTTCAGGTGGAGTTGGAGAAATGGCAAAAGGAGGCGGAAGGGATCCTCTTGGAGGAGGAGGAGATCGGGACCCTGACCGAAGAGCACATGCCGATGGCCAAGACAACCCAGGGAGGAAAGAAGGAGGCGGGAAGCGTGTTGTGGGGGGGAGAAAGGACGAAGGAAAGTCCCTTCGAGAGGAGGAGAGACGAGGAGGAGGACGCACCCCCTCCTCCTGGGTCTTTCTCGCTCGATGGAGACATCGAGAAGGTGGCATTGCGAGAGCTTTCGCAGGACCCTCTGTTCATGGACGAGGGCGCGATGGCCATGGCGGCAGCGGCGCTCAAGGATGTGGGCAGGAAGTCGGCAGGGCTGCACTCGGACGAGGAGGCGTCGATCTATGACAAAGTGATCCACATGCAGCGGAGGCAGTTGGAGGAGCTGCGGAGGGAGAAGATGAGCTTTGAGAAGGAGAAGGCAAGCATGCAGACGCAGCTGCGACACCTGCAGACCTCCAAGGAGCCCCAGCAGGCCCCGACGGCCTCCGCTGCTGCCCCGAGGACGGCGGAAGCCGGGGGAGGAGAGGACGATGGGGAGGTGTTCCATGTCCGGCTGAGGAATCCGAGGAGAATAGCAGCCGTTACGTTCATCCTTGTCGCCTCCTTTGCTCTGTTTGTTCGTATGCAGCGCAAGATCGACCGATCGGGTTCCCCAGGCATGCTCCTCCTCCTCCTGTGAGCTGATAGGTAGCAGGCGCCATGGACGATGCGACTTGGACGATGGAGGTGCAGCATGCGGAGGTGAGGACATGTTGCTGTCCTTGCCGTCTTGTCACTCTCAGCGCAAAGATGCAAAACTCGTGGGAGATTTGATGAGAGACAAAGCGCTGCTGGTTAAGGAGAAGCGAAATGGTTCGACTGCTCGCGCGCTCAGCTGTTGTTTGCGTGCTGACTGATTGTTGGACGCGGACAGGCACAAGCACGACGTCGTCGAAGTCAATGAAGGTGGGCAGATGAGCACTGGCTGGAATGAGGAGTAAAGGAGTATGAGGATGAGATGAGGATGATGATGAGGATCAGAGGAGGAGAGGAGGAGGAGGAGGATCAGGAGGAGGAAGGAGGAGGATCAGGAGGAGGATCAGGAGGAGGATCAGGAGGAGGGGAAGGAGGAGGGGAAGGAGGAGGAGGAGGAGGAAGGCTATTGCTTGACCTTTCTGCTCTCAGCGGCATCTCGCTACTGTCCAAAGGATCCTCGAAGGCATGCACAAGTAAGTCCGATGATGAAGATGATCTTCTCTTGTCCTGCTCTTGCTGCGTCTGCTCCTTTTCTCCCTCTCACCTGCTCGTTCTTCAGGAGGCACGTCAACGCCAAGTACAGCGAGTCTTCGCTTGCAGCGAAACTTACCAAGGAGAATGATGTAAATCCTCTCGTCCTCGTCTCGTCCTCGTCCTCGTCCTCGTCCTCGTCCTCGTCCTCGTCCTCGTCCTCGTTCTTGTCCCTGTCCCCGTTCTCGTCCTCGACGTTGTCGTAGTTTCTGCCCCTCCCCCCCCGTATCCTCCCTTCCTCCCTCGCTTCTCTCCGCTCTCTCTCACTCGTTCCTCCTTGTCTGTCCCCTCACTGCCCTCCGCAGGCGCTAGCGAAGGAGTTGAAGAGCCTGAGGGAGCAGGTGCAGGAGGGTCGTCGGGTGGAGCTGCCGTGACGTGACGTGAGCAGATCAAGTCGCTTTCAGGGAAGAACTCGACCAAGACCAAGTCAAGGAGGTGACGGCGAGGACGGGAAAGTCGATCCTGCCATGTGGAACAGAGGAGGAAGGGAAGAAGGAGCGATGAGAGGAAGGAGGACTGAGAGGAGCCGAAGAAAGTGAACGTAGGGGAAGGAGGGAGGAGAGGAGGAGGATGGGCAGTGTAGCGAGCAGAGTAGGGAGGTGAGGAGGATGAGGGAGGGGGGAAGCAGAGGAGGGGGAAGGAGGAGGGGAGAGGAGGAGGGGAGAGGGAGGGGAGCGAAGGATAGTAGTTGGGGAACGTGTTGGTTTGGAAGGAGAATTTCTTGTCCAGCAATTGTTGGGTTCAAGTGATTCTATTGGTTGAGATTAAATGACAAGACAAGAACATCTCAGATGGCATTCATGTCGAGCGAACTAGCCAGAAAGTAAGTAAGAGGAGGACGGGAGGGGAGAGGAAGGGAGGGAGAGGGAGGGGGGGAGGGGAGGGGAGACGGGGGAGGGAAAGGGGGGGGGGAGGGGAGGGAGAGAAGTAGAACGGGAGAAAGGACCGCGAAGAGGAGGATAGAGGTCTGGATGCGGAGGGAGCCGGGGAAAGAGAAATGGAGAGGGGTTTGTGGGGAGAGGTAAGGAAGGAGCCGGGGAGGGAGAGGGAGAGCGGGAGACGAGCGGGAGAGGAAGGACGTTGGGTCTACCTCGCAGCTGAAGCTGCAGAAGAAGACTTGGCAGATTTCTTGTCACCCCTGAGCTGCAAGCACACAAGTATCATCAAAATCACCTTCACATCCCCTTCCTCCCTCCTTCGCTCCCCCAACCCCCTTTTCCCTTTTCCCTCCTGCTCCTGCTCCTGCTCCTGCTCCTGCTCCTGCTCCTGCTCCTGCTTCGCCTTTTTCGCTCCTCGCCTCACCTTGGAAGGAATGAATCCCATGAGCATGTCTCGTCGACGAGCGGCCTGTTGAAGTTCAGAAGGGACCGAAGAGATACAAAATGAGATGTGAGGAGAGGAGGATAAGGAGGATGAGGGGGAGGAAGAGAAGGAAAAGAGAAAGGAGAAGTCACCTTTGCGGCCTCTCGGTCTTGATTAGGGTCAATCTTTTCTGATGTGCTGAGAATAGCCTGTGATAATCGTTAAGAAAGAGAATGATTATGGTGGTGGTGGTGGTGGTAATGATGATGATGATGATGATGACTATGACGACGACGATGATGATGATGATGATGATGAAATCCAGTGGTAAGATATTTCTGTGTGGAGGAGCGAAGGAAATAGGATGGAGGGGCGAGGGGAAGGAGGAGGAGCGGTGGAGGAGAAGATGGGAGGGCAAGTTGGGGATGGGAAAGGTTGTCGTGTGGTGGGGGGAGGAAGAGGTTGTGACCTTGTAGTCTCTCTGCGCAGCCTCTCTCGCTTTGTTCTTCCCCTTGAACATGACGGCACTCTCCATGCTCTGACAGCCGGAGAACACGGTGAGTGTAACGGAGAGCAGGAGATGATAGTGGGGGGAGGGGAAGGAGAAGGAGAGAGGGGGAGGAAGTGGAAGGGGGGAAGGAGAGGGGGGGAGAAGGAGAGAGGGGGAGGAGGAGAAGGAGGAACTGGAGGAGAAGGAGGAGGAGGAGGAGGAGGAGGAAGAGGAGGAGGAAGGAGGAGGAGGAGGAACTGGAGGAGGAGGAGGAGGAGGAGGAGGAGGAGGAGGAGGAGGAGGAGGAGGAGGAGGAGGA